GTTCATTGATAACATTTTCCGCTTTACTCAAGCTGGTTCTGAGGTATCTGCTCTGCTTGGTCGTATTCCATCTGCTGTGGGTTACCAACCAACTCTGGCGACAGACATGGGTACTATGCAGGAGCGTATTACCACTACAAAGAAAGGTTCTATTACCTCCGTGCAAGCTATCTATGTGCCAGCTGATGATTTGACTGATCCCGCCCCTGCCACTACCTTTGCTCACTTGGATGCTACAACTGTGCTGTCTCGGGCAATTGCTGAACTTGGTATTTACCCAGCGGTGGACCCTCTTGATTCTACCTCTCGTATCATGGACCCCAACATTATTGGTGCTGAGCACTACAATGTAGCCCGTGGCGTTCAGAAGATTCTACAAGATTACAAGTCACTCCAGGATATCATTGCCATTCTTGGTATGGATGAGTTATCTGAAGAGGACAAACTGACTGTAGCCCGTGCCCGCAAGATTCAAAGATTCCTTTCTCAGCCTTTCCAAGTTGCTGAAGTATTTACAGGGCATGCTGGAAAACTTGTACCTCTTGAAGAAACCATCAAGGGATTCTCTAAAATTCTGCAGGGAGAATATGACCATTTGCCCGAGGTTGCATTCTACATGGTAGGACCTATTGAAGAAGTTGTGGCTAAGGCTGAAACTTTAGCCAAGAATGCATAGGTCATTTATCTGTATCAGTACACTAGAATTTATATACTTATCTAGGAGAAACGGTAATTTATTGCAATATATCCTGCATATTACAAAATAATTATTGGTAAATAATCAATGTGCATGGCTATGTAAAATGTGATCCAGTTTATTGTCATAAATAAAACTTCCATTTCAATAGATCTTTTATTTTAACTTAAGTTTCTATATACATAAAACATAGATCTATTTATAATTTTATGAGCATCAAATAGCTAATATTATTAGTTTTAGCTGAAGCTTCATTATTATTGAGCAAACACATTTCAACTACCAATGTAATTTTTAATTGTTCTTAAAAACGCAGATTTAACAAATGCTTGGTAATATTATGTTATTTAGTTTGATAGACGAACATCTAATTGAAGTTACTGAAATATTTATGATCATTCAATCTATTCATAAATAATAAAAATGTAACTGATCATGCTTTGTACATGAAAGATATTTGAAAAATTTTATTGGGGACCTTTATCAACATTATAAACGGCTAACTGATTTGGGTGCAACTTTCACAAATGCATGTTGATCTCAGAACTATATCATCTGTCATTTAGCATATAAAATCATGAACATCATTTGGTTTGTCGGTGAGTAGAAATGCGCCCCAAACGATATAACCGCCAGTGCGTGGCGGGTATTTCTGGACACAACAGCACAACTTAGATTAAATGCATTGCGAAAACATCATGTATAAATTTTTTTTGTTCTGTTAGATGATCTTGAATGCAACTTCCTTAGGTTCGATTCGCCCCTGGACCTGCTAAACAGGAAATGAGCCAGGAACCAGGGAAAGCGGCGGGCCAATAACGACCTGACTGCACTAGAAAGTATTTTTAGTGGTGATGTGACGAACAGAAATAAGAGGATATCTACACAAACTCTCTAAACTCAAGGACAACTGGTGGGATTTGAAAAATTCTTGCACTCTTAGATAGCCCATTTATTGAGGAAGGCTACGTGCTACTTTTCCAGCGCGTTAAAATAAAAGGTAGTACATACGGGCGGAGCCGCGGTCGAAAAGCTAGTTATAATAATATGTAAATAAGCTATTGCTACTTTGCTTTTAATAAATACATTTAGTTCTACGTTATAGTATTTTTTTCAAATTAGCTTCGGTATACGAGCCCGACTGCTGGGCCTCCTTTGTACAGAAGCTGCGACTATTGTGGATTGGCAGACTTACGGATTCGATGGTCGCTTAGTTTTTGAGAAAAAATATTTAAACTTATTTTATTTATTGAAAACACCTCACAAAGGCATTCTCTACCAGTCAACCCGGGGCGTGAGAAAAAAAAATCGTGGTAGGTGTAATAAAAATGAAATTGCAATATGAATAATTTATATGACTTAAATAATGATATATGCATTACCCATCATATAAGCTCCAGTATATACAAGATATTTTATAAAAGATTTATGTAACACCATTTACGATATAAAAATATAATGATATATATACATAAAACATATATTATAAATATACACATATGGAGATATACATTTAAAATATATGACCGTTAGTGATTATACGACAACATCCGCCATACTAATTTGTTCTTTAAATAATAGTCTCGTACCATAATTATGTTTAAATGAGGCTCTGCTAAGCGTTCTTCGTATGTCTTCAGGCTAGTGTTGAATATCGATAGTATTGTCACGTGTCAATACTACCGATGGCTTTCCAAATGCCAATACTATTGATAACAGCAGTACTCGATAGTATTGCAAAAACCATTTTACTGGCTATAGATAGTATCTATAGCCAGTAAAAGGCTATAGTATAGGTTTTGTCAAAAACTAATGGAAGTTGCAATACTATCAATGCAAGCATTTCTATCGATAGTATTGCTGTTATGAATAGTATTGCCACTTGTCGATACTATCGGTAGTATAGACTTAGATGATATTATAGGTAGTACAATCGATATCCTGAATAGTTTTCGAGGTCAACTATCGATAGTCAAACTATCGATGGTTGTGCAACACTACTTCAGGCAAGGAATTCCAAAGCAGTGTAGTCCCCTCTCGGGAACCCTTGAGCCTGATCACTCCATGGAGCGCCCGCCAAAGCGCCCTAAGAGCTTGGCGGCCTCCCAAACCGGTGATAATAATAGCGTGACGGCCCGAGCCGAGGCTCCCCCGGGAGCCCTCGAGCGTAGTCACCATAACGCGTAATAATAATACGCCGAGGTTCAGGCTAGGCGCCTCGTGCGCCAGGCCACCTCAAGCCCGTCGGAACTGTAAAGGCCCCTAAGGCCAACAGTGGCTCATCCAGCCCAAAATAAAAAGCAGTGTACTGTGTAGCATGTACGGTGAAAGAGTTACCCAAAAAAAATTACGTTTATCGAAAAGTATTGAAAGTTGTCTTTAAGATATAACGGAGAACCTGGATAGGTTAAAATGAAAAAAAGAACAAGTAAAAAAAAATAGGAATATTTGACGTTTTCTTAAATTAAAGATGAAGGTCAAAGTATCTTCTGCAATTATTGTAAAGGCGCTCTAGCTTGTTCAGGAGATCTAAAGAAATCCGCCATTTTGTTTTTGAGATGTCTTATTACTTAATTATTAAATTTGACTCTTCCATTCACTTCGCCAGAACTGTCGCTGTCGCTTCACCCCCTCGGCCTTCGCTCGCTCACTCCTTGCAGGCTTGCTCCACTCAGGACCTCCGACGCGAGGTTCTAGCTCCGTCTTTTTATATTCAATCTTAGTGTTGGGGCCGCAAGACCACATAAAGTTGTCTTATTAAATAAAAAAAAATAATAATAGAACAATCGATGAGTATGACGTCGCCCGCTTCCTATATTTATCATATTGGCAGTATTCAGTTTTTGAAGTCAAATTAATTTTAAAAAATATGAACATCCGAAATGATAAACTCCTCCATTTTGAAGTCGGTTAAAAATAGGGAAAATAACAAGATTTAAATATTTTTTTTTCTCGAAAACTAAGCGACCGGAGAATTCTGCTTGCTGATTAGTTCATTAGTGATTTTTCAGTTAATCGTTTAAAATGTTTTATATGTTAAATTCATTTGAGAAAGTGTGATTTTAAAAGGAAGTAAACAAAATATGAGGTAATAGGTGCACATTGTATGGTGATCCCTAGTGTGATACAATGAAATTCTTTTAATAAAAATAAATGATTTTATTAGAAACGAGCTGACCCGGCAAACGTTTTGCCATATAAATTATTTGTAGGGTAGAAAAAAATGTTTGGGGTGGACCACCCTTAACATTTAGGGGGAAGAAAAATAGATGTTGTCCGATTCTCCACCCTGGCCGATATGCACATAAAATTTCACGAAAATCGGTCAAGCCGTTTCGGAAGAGTTCCTTTACAAACACTGACATGAGAATCTTATATATTATAGAGATAATAATAATTTGAAGAAATTTTCAGTTATCTTATTTACATGACGTAATCATCGCCTAGGTACAAGTTAACATTTTAACTTTCAGTAACAGTTAAAATTCGTTAACTAAATAATGGTATAGGACAAGCATTATTTCTGGCACTTGACCAAATTAAATGCAGAATTAAAAGTAAACTTATGGCTAAAGCATAAATAGTACCACTACGGAATATCTCGACTACGGCAATTCTGTACGCACGTAGGCTTAAATAAGAATATTATTATATATTATAATCAGATCTATTAAAAAAAGAGCAATTGTCGAGTTTCTCGTCAGTCTCTTCTCAACAGAACTGCCTTCTGAACCGGTGATATTTTACTTATAAACTTAGGTATTAAATTATTTATGTAAATTTCGACGTTTCATAAGAACCCGCAAGCGTCTATTTGAATAAAGATATTTTGAATTTGCAATTTGCAGAAACCTTCCAGCTAACGCTAATGGCAGAATATTTATCATAAAAAAATTGCCTTTGACTGTATTCAACATTACTAAACATAATGGTAATGTATGGCTTTTAGTTTTATGAATAGTTTTGAAAAGTTACTTTGGTCAAAACTATTCAAGAGTACTTCAGGAGTAACATAAACATTGCTATAAAAACATTATTTTCTACGAATATAATATAAAAATTATCATCTTAACAAATTAGATAAATTGGAGATTATAAATTTTAAATTTATTCAAAATGGTTCAGGACTAGTAGAGGTTATTTATACTTTACACTATTCTATTATAGTCTTAATATAATAACATATTATGTCCAATTAATGTAAGCAAAATTTTAATTTTTCAGGAGTATTTATTTACTTACAAATCAGGAGAGAATTGAAAGAAGTCAGTTTTTTCTTACATATTTATTTAGCCAAGTTTTATCGCTTGCCACCAACACGTGGTGCCGACTTCTGACTTACTTTCGCAGCCTTAGCTTTAGGAGCAGCCTTTGCTTTTGTTGGAGGAGCAGTAGTCTTTTTAGCTGCTTTTGTTGACTTTTTCTGTTCCTTTGCAGCTCTGTAACAAAAACGTTTCATATTAAAAGTACTGCCTTTAGCTGGTCAGTAAATGAAAAAAGACAAATTCATACTTGATTGCCTGCTCTCTCTGAGCTTTCCTAACTTCTGGTTTCATGTTGCGCTTAGCCATGATATCACTGAGGGATGCACCCACAATGGCACGTTGGAACTTCTGGGTCCTCCTCGTGCGCTTCTTGGCTTGTTCTTCCTCTTGTCCTTTCTTGAACTTGCGTCTAAAAAATGCATTATCATTCAATAGAAATCAAAATATCCTGGTACAAATTTAACATGTTAATGTTTAATTTAAATAAAGAAAAAATCATAAATATTAGATAATTATGACAAATGTTAACAAAATATGTTGCTCATAAAAATGTCAACACTCCTTGCCTTAAGCACCAAATTGTGGGTCTATAAATCACCTATTTCATCAATTTATTTGATGTCTTTGGCATCTTCATAAATTTGAAATACATTTTCATATAGCAAGTTGATTGCAATAAACAGAAAAACTACAGCAACATTGTCTTAATATACACTGTCTTAATATTTTTACTGCAGCAACTACCCCTTTTACTTTACACTCGTATGACTATATGCGCAGCAATAGTGGATTTTCTTTGTGAAAATAACAAAATTATTTTCTTTTTTAAAAACTAAAGGTAACAACTAAATTCCAATTATTGATTTATTTATTACTCATTTTTCTGTATATTAAAATTATTTTTAACCACAATATCAACTGCATAATTTTCTCAACAATTACCTTAAAAAGTCTTCATGTAGCGTGTAAATTCAGACAGGACTATGAAGTCTAGTTGTCACTAGCTATGTAGGAACTTGACTGATTGCATGTTGTTTAACTTAAATGGAAATCAAGCAAGAACCAAAATGAATTAGTCAATTCCATCCTATTACAAGTTTTTCTCCACTTCAAAACATGAAGTTATAAAAGCCATGTTTAATTTTTTATAAAACAACAACAAACAAAAAATTTAGCAGCCAGCTAACCTAACCTAATTAAACTTTAAATTTGAGCAATAAATGATATGCAAAGAAAATGATACCTGTAAAGAACAGTCCAAGTGACTTTTCGAGGATTCCTTCTCATTAAATGGGCTGCCTCACATTTTGAATTCAAGAATGTGAAAGTCTGAAACAAAATGCAGGCTAAATACAATGTAACAGCTTATAAATTTTTGTAAAAATTTCAACATCTTAAAATGCATTATAATTAATAACAATAAGCTTTGAATTTTTTAAAAGAGAAGTAGTTTAAAAAGCCGAATTCACCGTCCATCACATAAAACTAAAAATTCTTAAGACAAATTATCAAATTTTCATATTAAATTTGAATTTACATAATATAATCCTTAATTCTTGAACTTGACTTGAACTGAAAGATAAAGATTTAAAGGGAATATACCTTGCCATCCACCTTAACCATGGTTTTGCCATGGCCAGGGTATATCTTGTAACCACTGTAGGCGCAAAGACCGATCCTGAAAATAAAATACACATCATAAAATTTGTTCACTTCACTTATTAATAAGAAGTATTTCAAAAAATATCTATAAAAGATTAAATCGATTTATGAAAATACAAAATATTTCTTCGAAAACGTACTTCATTTTGACTTGTGTCAAGAAAGAAAGAGCTGATAAATTTGAACAGATGATATAGAATCTAGCGATGGGCGTTGAATCGACGAACTAGTTGAATCAACCGTTGATCTCTTGTTAACGAATTAACTTTAACTGTTATTGAAATCAACTAGTTGAATTCGTTAACGTCGTTTCGGAAATTTTGTCGTTGAATCAATTCGTTTAAAAAAGCGTAACGAATTGAAAACCTTACGTTGAAAGAAACGACACAGAGTTGATTTGAAATGTTTGTTTAATTTTATGAAGGACATGTTTAAGTTCGCTTTCTTTATTTTCGTTTGACAGTTTGTGAATAGTTGTGAATAAAATATTTAGTGGCTTTGCGTAAACATTGTTAGAACTTTACTGCATGTTTAGTACATTTTTTTTTGTGAATTTGTTAATTTTTAACTAATTATATTTGAAATTTTATTTCATGTTATTAGTTTTGTTTATCAGAATTTTACTTTGTGTTTAGTGTTTTTTTTATTTTAATTTATGATTATTTCAGTGTATAGAGGACTGTGGGTACAAAATTCAAAATAATTGAACGTATTAACAGTGAGTTATGGCTTCATACCTAAAAAGACAGTTCTAGCGGAAAAGCTGTTTGTGATGTATGCAAGGCGAAAATATCGAACAAATTGACCACTTTAACTTTAAAACGTACTTGAAGCGGAAATATATTTAAATATTTTCATCAGTGTTTTAGTACCAATCTTTAAACACCAGCGTATGATGGTTGATTTTGATGAGAAAAAAAATAGTTTCGAACAAAAGAAAAAAAATAATTCAGATTTGTTAGATTTATGCATAGATAGCTTTCATCCGTTTTCCCTAGTAGAAGAAAGGGCTTGCAATTTCACATACTTGTGTATGTGTCACGTTAACTAGTTGACGAATTTAACTAGTTGATCAACTAGTTGACGAACATGAATCAACGTTAACGTTAAGTTGAAGAAAATACCTTCAACGACCATCGCTAATAAAATCATAGACAACAACAATTACATTTCTGCCAGTCTGCCACCCACTGAAATGTAAACCCTTATTGACAGCTGAATAGACGTCACTGATTTGTCACCTGATCGGTGATTAATTGCGTCAAGCGCCTACGTCATGGCTGATTAAAAGTATATTTTCTAGCAAATAACGGCAGCTTAAGCGAAATAAAAAATACGTATATAAAGCTGAAACTATAAGGAATCAAAATATGTGTAAATTAAAGTACAACTATTAATCCAAAACAAAGAATTAAATATGAAAGTTGAGAATATTGGTTAAATTTCACGTAAATATTTTTTTAAACAAGTTTTTACAAATAAAATTGTATCAAATCTCATTTGATATTTATTCTTTACTAAACTAGACAATATAAGCTTTAATTTGATACCAAAAGTGTAAACATTCATTGTGTAAACTTTATACAATAAACATAAACATAGACCCTATTCCACTTGAAATCCGACACTCGATTGTTTTTCAATGCGACGGCAAGATGTCCGCCCATAAGGCCATAAACACAGGGTTATTCATCTATTTTTTTATTATTTAGTTAGAAATATTTTGTTTCATAAATAGGTACATGACATTCTTATATTTCTAAATAACATATATATTAACATGTATAACATATATTTATTTATAAAATATATTTTTATTAAATTTCGGTATATAATATACATATTTAGTTATGACACATTTTTTTAATATTTGAAATGAGCATTTATTGCAGATATGTATTTATGATATTGTAATAAAATACAAAAAAGCACAGTAACAGTATGTGAGCTATATCTCAGCTAATATTATTTATTTTACGGCTGGTGATATGCCTTAAAACAGCCCTCAACGCAAAGATTAATGACGCGCTCCTGGCATTCCCAAATTTTTCATTATTGTTCCAGTATTTTTTGAAAACATCAAACAGGAAGGGGTTACTTTCAACATCGGTGTGGCCTGCTTCTTCCTTGAAATCCAAAAGCCTAAACGACTTACATATTTCTTTGAATAAACTGAAATATTAAGCTTACTTACGATTAGTACGTAAAATGAAAAAGATAATTAAGCTTGTTCATCTTACACTCTCACATGTCCATGTCTTCGCAATATCATTCTCACGTCTTGATAACTTGCAATAAATATTAGTATTATTACGATTAGGAGGATGACGTCTTAAAAATCAAAGATCCGTCTTGACAGCTTGGAATGACGTATGTGATTTTATTTTTAAACATTAGTGCATGGTGAAAGAAGGTTCGTATTTGGCATAGACTTCAGACCTAGAAAAAGATAAAACAAAAATACCCTATAATAAAATAAATAAAACGAATGTACCACACCAAATAAAAAAAACGCGATAATACGAAAATACCCTCATGGTCACAGTTTGTATGTAACCTTACTTTGATACTTTTTCGTGACGTTCGTGTGACGTCATCAGCCCATACAAAAAACCTGCGGAAGACAATTTTAAAAACGTAAAATAATAAGTGTTTGCGTAACAATCCTTTCGTTTTTAGTGTTTTTAAATGTTAATAATGAACTGTTTTTACAATTACTAGGAATATTTTACTACAATATATAATATATAAGACAATTTTAATTATGAAAACCGGCACAATGAGGGTAGATTTTTAAGTGTTCATTTTATCACCCGAAATAATATTCTTTTAGACTTTTGATTCATATAATTTGATGAAATCATGAAAGAAATATTCATGAGGATTATTTCAATGTATAATACTAATACACTGCGTTTATAAATAAATCAATACTTACATTGTAAATGCGGACCCCACAACCACTTGAAATAACTTCGAACAGTTTTTGTAAACAATTTTTTTTTGAGGGTAGCAGTCGCCGTTTATTGTGTTCTACCCACCAAAAGACGCGTTATTTAATCAGGAACCATCTTTTTTAGCGATATTGAACCACTACGACAATTCTATGGAGAAAATTACTTTTAAAGTTAACAAAGTGGTTGGGCTGCCATAGTCGCCCTAACGTTTGACGCTTAAAACATTTGGGCTGCCGTAGTCGCCCTAACGTTTCAGCGGCCACAGGTACGAACTTGTTATTGCAATACCGTTAATGCAACAGTTTTAAGTGTTATAAACATTACAAAGTATAGTGCAAAGCTATGGATAGCGTGAAACAGTCTTATTTCACGCTTTTCTTGTTATCATTATTTAAACGTTTATAGGGTCAGTGACTGTAAAAAAAATTTAATTAAAGTTTATTTATCAATAGTGCTCCAAGATCAAAAACCATAGGTTAGAAGAGAACCTACTCTAGAAGTGGGTCGCTGACTCGCTGTCCAATTTTTGACGGAAGGAAGGAACGCAGCCATCGTCGCAACGAATAAAACGGCTGCAGAAAACGGTCTTCGTTGCAACGGCTTAAACGACGCATTACCGAAGTTTTGGTCGAGTGAAACAGTTGCAATTTCTTTGTCCTTATAATATTAATAGGGAAAATGCTGGTTTTCTCCATTAGCGAAGTAATAGTTGTGTTTTCTTTTTAGATGGTTCCTCACATTTTCTGTTTTTGATTTAAAGCTTAAATATTCGTGGCATATATATATATAAAAGTGGTGATAAAAATGATCCAGGCAACTATAGACCTATTTCCATATTGCTATCTCTTAGTAAACTTTTTGAAAAGCTAATATTAAATCAACTTTTAGTTCATTTTAATGTGAACAAAATCTTTCACGATGAGCAATATGGATTCACTAAAGGCAGATCGACAACAGATGCGGGCGTCGCACTTGTCAAACATATTTATAACGCCTGGGAAAGGTCACAAGATGCAATAGGTGTCTTTTGTGACCTTTCAAAAGCCTTCGACTGCGTAGACCATAAAACTCTCCTTCAAAAGCTAGAATATTATGGCATTCGTGGCATCGCCCTCAATCTCATTGCCTCTTACCTTAGTAATAGAATTCAAAAAGTATCTATAAATGATGTTAATTCCGCTGGGTCCCAGATGAAAATGGGAGTCCCACAAGGATCAATCTTGGGCCCATTATTATTTTTAGTATATATTAATGATCTCCCCTTTTATGCCAGTGGGTTGTGTGATGTTGTACTGTTTGCTGACGATACATCGCTTATTTTAAAGTTGACCGAAACGTATTAAATTATGACGACGTGAATAGTGCACTTTCACATATCCTCCACTGGTTTACTATTAATAATATGGTATTAAATGCCAAAAAAACCAGATGTATTCTTTTTACCCTTCCCAGTATAAGAAGGAAAAGTTTTAGTTTAATATTAAATAACGTACCCATTAATCCAGTTGAGTCTGCTATACTTCTGGGAATTACAGTAGATTCAAAACTCCAGTGGAGTCCCCATATATCATCTCTTGCGAATAGGCTGAGCTCCGCGGTTTTTGCGATTAGAAGGATTAGGCAGCTAACAGACATCGACACTGCCAGACTTGTTTACTTTAGTTATTTTCACAGCATCTTGTCTTACGGCATTTTGTTGTGGGGTAGTGCATCAGATATAAATTCTGTATTTATTCTTCAAATAGAGCTGTCCGAGCAATCTACAATATCGGAGCCCGGAATTCACTCAGAGATCTTTTTAAAGAGGTTAATATACTCACTGTTGCTTGTCAATACATTTATTGTAATGTTTTGTATATACGTCATAACCTTAATTATTACCTAAAGAATAGTGACAGACATAAAATAAACACTAGAAATAAGGACAAACTTACTACGCCATTGTTTCGTCTACAAAAAGTAAATAAGTCGTTCATGGGGCAAAGTGTGCGCATGTATAATAAAATCCCACAGTCGATATTAAGTCTGCCGCTTGACCAATTTAAATGTAAAATTAAAAATCAACTGATGATTAAAGCATATTATACCATTTCGGAATATCTCGACGACGCCAATGTGTGGAGTTAATACTGTTGATACTCACGTAGGCTAGAATAAGACTATTATACCTGTATATTATATTGTACCCTGATATTTTTGAAAAAGAGCAACTGTTGAGTTTCTTGCCGGTTTCTTCTCAATAGAAACCGCTTTCCGAACCGGTGACACCTTACGAACCTATACACATAATCTTTGATGAAAATTTGACGATTCATAAGAGCGCGCAAGCGTCTATTTGAATAAATATATTTTTGATTTTGATTTTGATTTTGATATAATTGGCCTTTTTTTAAGTTTTATAATCGAAGTTCCACCATAAAACACATTTTTTTCGCGCCGGCGACATTGCGATCGGGTTGTTAAAATTAATAGAAGTAATAATTTTTAACATCAAATGTACCGCACTACACTAAATGAGGAAAATTACATACATTTTTAAAAATTATTTAAAAGAATACTTTTCTTTTCTAATTATTTCAACAAAAGAAAAACATAATTAAAATGCTATCTGTCTACATAAATGTACATATAGTATCTATTATTTACTAATAATCTCTTGTAATTTTAACAAACAAAATAATCATCAAGCGACTTGCGTTGATTTCACATTTCGATTTTGCCTCTAAGTCGGTTAGCACCGATCTAGAGGCGAGATCTTGTCTTGACTTGTATTAACTGATGTTTTTGCTTTCAGTCCCGAGCCGAGACTATTAAAGTAGGGATGAGCCGGCCGAATAGGTACGAAGTTCTCCGAACGCTTACGACGGCTCTTCCTAATCATGCCCGTATTGAAACGTATGATTTAGGCATTTTATGCCAAATAATTCCTTGAGATAAATTTATTCTTTATTTCTATGACCATAAAATAAATAATTGCGTGATAAGGTTAAACAGTAATATTTATTTTGAATTACTTTTTTTTGATAATAGGGTTCTTTACGTTACTAAAGATGGAGCTTATTTTAGACTGATTAAATCTCAATTTAAAAAACTGATTGCTAAAAAAAACATCTAAATGTTCCAATTCCAACCAAAGAAAGGTTCAATTCCATACCGGATCTCCAAAAGGAGGCCTGAACATAACTAATACCTATAGGTATTTTGATACTGGGTTTTAGCACCGGGTATACGGCGATACCCGTACCTTAGAGGCCGGGTATAGAATGTTGCAGGTATATCTCATGCCTATATTAAAGCTTCATCTTGGCTTCATCTGACGCAGAACTGGTGGGCTAGCTAGAACCCACGGGTTACAACTTAGCAGTTTTCCCCCGAATTTAGGGGAAAAACAAAAGGGTAGGTGTGTTTTAGGGTTCTTTTTACTTTTTTACGTTTTTCCCTTTTTTTTACCTCGTAGTATATTTTTTACTAAGAAAAATATACGGTATAAAATAAAAGGCCTGGAGTAATGCAATCTACCTTATCATATTCATTTTTTGACCTAGTCTCTTTCGCATCTTATTAAAGAAAGACCGTACTAGCGACATCTAGTACGGTCTCTCTTTAATAAGATGCGGAGTTGAAAATGGAGAGTAGTCAAAGATAAGGAGAAAAGTTTCTGTATATTAAGATGTGTCCGTGAAAGCGCATTCAATAGTGGTAGCGTATGATAAATTTTAAAGAAAGCGCTAAAAGTAATGAATTTATTATCTTTGTTTATAAATCTCATTTTTGGAATTGCGGTTAAAATTTGGGTCATCTAAAGAAATCATAAGAGACAATTTTTTGTTAAATTAAATTACCTACAACTTTTAGTTATACTTATTTTATTAGACCACCATTTCCGGTGCAATTTCCTCAGTGTTTTTATACCATTTATTTGGAAATTAAGGCAAAAAACTTGGCACTGTTAATTATTCACAATTTTTTTATATTATTTAGGGACAAATATTTGCAAGAGTTGGTAACACTATATGTATAAGTTACTCTATGTCTATGGTGTAAGCGGGCATCGTAGTGTGCATCATACTGAAATATTTTTGACAAAACGAGCAACAATATGATTTGCCCAGATTTTTTAGAATTTCAGGTTTGATCAATGGTATATTAATAGAATAACACTTAAAAATTTGTTCGAAACTAATTAAAAGTGAAGTCTTATAACCTATCAAAAGTGGGATTTGCGAGGTTACGTATACTGGACCCGGTTTAAACATTTTTTTAGTGTTTAATAATTAAATGTTTATCTGTTATCAGGACATCCTTAAAAAGATGCGAGTATTGGATGATAAGATAGTGTACACTTTAAATTCTTCCATACCCACGGAGTCTTTCAAAAAGAAAGTTGATGCAACAGCAGTTTGTCAAGAACTATACGTCCAAATTCAAAAAGGTCATGAAGAAAGAGAAAATGTTATAAAAAATTGTATTGTTGTTACTGCTGAAACAGTAAAAAAATTGAAATCAGTGAAAGAAAATAATCCAGAGGATTTCGATGTCATGAAAAGTTTAAAAACTGAACAAAGAAAGGTATTTTTTAAGTATTGGGCTTAAAATTATTTTACAAAATTCTATCATTGTGATTGTTTCCTCTGACCCAAAATGTCTAAAGTACTCATGATCTATATTTATATCAAACTAAGATAGAATTATCATTATGGAATAATTCTTAATTCCAATATTTTAAATAATAAATATCTTATTTTAGTTACGGCTTCTACAGACAGAGTTGAGTGTGGAAGAAGTAATAAAGGAAAAAACAAGTAAACTGTTCAATGAGAAATGTAGATCATATTTTAAGCCAAATGATTTATGAAGACTGAATTTGTAACTACAGGGTATTGTTGATATATATGTATATAGTCATATTAATAGAAAATAGTCACCATGATTGTTTTATTTATTCCTAAAAATCATCAGGTATCTGTTTGGTTAATGCTATCTACAAAAAACATGACATTATCAACTTAAAATTATTATCATAACACACAGAAAAATAATTTAAGCTTTTTACTTAACTTAGTTAATTAACACAATTTTGTAATGATGTACTGTGGCAAAGCAAGCTATTCCTGCAAATTAGTGATAATTAGTTTTCTTTTGCTAGATTTTTTTCTTTTTCTTCTTTGTACTGCTTATGCCAGTCCAGATTCATTTGGTGGACAGATTCTCCCCTTTTAGCAGCTGCTTTTCCTGATAATATAGCTCCAAGGCTAGCTAAAGCTGTGAGAATCATTGCAATATTTGAAATTTTAATTCTGGCTTCACTTCTTGATCTGTCAATCACTTCTGCACTGAAAAGAAAAATAAATTGATTATACCTTTATCAAGATAATAGGAAAGTTTTGAGAAATATTGCACAATTTGATTAATGTATTAAAGTTAAAAATAGAAACATACGATACAAATGATGGGATTTCTTCTTTACTTTTGAATTTTTTTGTCCAAACAAGTATTATCTTCTGAAATTCAGATGGTCTGTATCTCTTTGACATTGAACGAATGTCGGGCGCTGGATTTGATCCAGAAGCAGGCGCACACATATTTCTTCTAAATAAGAGCGTTAGCACTCTGTTTACTAACAATTTATTCATTGTAAAATGTTTACGAAAATTTCTGTGAAAAATTAATTTAACTTGTGGTCAAAGATTGTGTAATATATAGAGTCGTGCACTAACAAATTTATGAAAAAAGTAAGTAAATACTAGATAAGGTGTGAACACAAGAATAAATGATGTTGCCATGTTTTTTTTCCGAACAGACTACCAAAATTACTGTAAATAGTTTATTATTCTTCTGTGACTTCTGAGATAAATCATGTTTAAAAGACATGGATATGAAATTTTACACTACGGCGTTAAATAAATATTCATTTCTTAAGCCTTTGTCGGCATCCAATGGGCTCCGAGGATGAGTCTGTGTGATACTACTATACTACTCGGGACTTAAACATTACCTATGAGTGTTTAATTTCCGCTGGAGTTTTCACGGGACGCTAAAACTGATGAAGTGACATAAATATCATCCATTACTCTCGGCTCGCAACTTTATGATTATATCTTTAGAATGATAAATGTTGTTTTCGTCATTAGATACTGTGAATTCGAGGCGATGTATGATGTAGGCGTGATTCATTATTATGAACAGTTCTGCGTGTTTTTAGTAGTCGCATATACATTCTATGCATCTCACTAACATCTGACATCTTGGTAAGTGAACATATACATTATATTGGTGTATTGGATAGTCGATTCCTCTTTGCACCTGAGGGTGTTGGTTTGATAATTACCACTATTGGAAAAATGTTGTGCTCATACAAAACGGGCGTTGTATCCGTGTAATAGCTGCTTAGTCAGTTCCATCATGAGGTTTTAAATCTGTGCGAGTCCAACTCTTACCCCGCGTAAATAAAAAAGGTGGATGATAATATAATTAAGACGGCTGAAATAATTAGACCGTAGATGTTGCGTCAAAAACTTTTACTCTTCCTTTATAGACTTTAGTTCTTTAATTTAATCATTAATAAACTTTTTCAGTGTTATTTAGAAATACTGTACAATACTCGTGATTGCTCATTGTATGGAACACCGTCCCTTTACAATTCCCACATTGTAGTGTAACTGCTACCATCTAGGATCTAAAAGTAAATAAAGCTTCGAAACATAGAAATTTGATATCTGTTATAGCAATCGGAGCTCCCTTATTACGTAACTTTATTTGAATGACAATTGATAACCTACAACTTAAGTAGTAAACACGTAAATGGCAACACGTAGTATACTTCGCTGTCTAATAATGAAAAGTGAAACTGAATGATTCGGTTTCACTTGTCATTATTAGTCAGCGTTTAATAAATTGTCACGATTTATCAGCGAAGTCTAGTGAGTGTCGCCATTTACTGAAGGTACCATTGTCTGAAGGTGAATTTTATTCACTGAATCAATCTCTCTAGAGTATATATGTTCTGTGCACTGAATACGCTACCTACAATATAATGAAACATTTCTTTTGTTCAATGATGGATTTGATCCGTTGGTCGCCATAGGCCTATACAAATTCCTCCCCCCCTACTCGCACTCTAAAAGCACGAGAAATTTAATGAAGTATATACAGGGCCAGATTTAGAGGTCTGGAGGCTCCTTGGTCCCAAATTATATTCGAATCCCTGATCAAATTGTCACAACTGCTCTAACAAATGCTTTAATAAATCCACGAAATATGTATGTATTTATTTCACACCGCTGTTACCATGTTGTGTTATTGAAATGCCTTGTTGGACAATAACTACTTTATTTTATAAAATACCCTTAACAATATTATGTTGAGATAAATATCCAGTTAGCTAATATTTTACGTAGAATTGTTGACATATTTTTTAGGTAATCTACAGGAAGTAATATATTTAATTAAGACTTTGATTGCTTTGCCTTGGGCTACCTTTTTTTTAGTAGCTGATCCCCGTTAGCGACACTCATGTCCCACAGCGCTATTTTTTATAAATTTTAGAGCCATTGTTATGTAATAAAAATTTCTGAAGAATTTTTTTCTTCATCTGATTTTCCAGTGCTACGGCTTTTGTCTTGTATCTTGTATTAACTGATGTTTGAGCTTTCAGTCCCGAGACTATTAAATCTTCATCTGAAGCAGAACCGGTGGGCTAGCCAGAACTCACGGGTTTGGGCCCTCCGTTGTAGGTAGGGCCGCTTATGTGCTCATGCGTGCCTTTAACTACGGCATGTCATTTATGTTGATTGACTGTGCTAATCGGTGGCTGAGGGTGGTGAGAACCGCCCTGGAACGCAGGTGTACCTTGGTCTCGCCGTGCTCGGAGGCCAGGGCGTACTAATGTCTATGTTGCTACACTAACTGTGTGTGTAGTGTTCCAGCGCGACCCCCGACGGTGGGTCCAACGTACCTAAGTCCCCATTCTCGAACGGGTCGATGAGGACGTTTCGCGGGCGACGCTTGTTGACGCTCGCGTTTGGATCGGGTTGGTTATTTACTGCGCTTAGCACCACCGGTTGGGATGATGTTCGGCTCTATCAAAGAACCGCTTGGTCAGGTCTTTGATAAATTCGAGAATCGTCGGGAGTCTGCAATCGCTGCGCAGGTCGACGTTGCGTTGATACCACTGCGCACGGTTGCGCGGCGGATGAACTTATTTTGCACTACTTGCAATTTGTGCAAGCGAGTAGTGTGCGTGTGGGCGAAAATCATGCATGCGTAGGAGACGAACGGACGGCTCTGTTACGGACGTTATTAATATGCGTTGTGAATGACATACGCGAGTCGAAAGTGACTTCTAAATATTTTACTTTTTTCTCCCAGGGGAGCGGTTGGTCATAAAGATATGTTTGCCCTAGCTTTCTGGTCGGGTAAGTTCTACGTGTGATCGCCACTCGTTAATCGCCACACTCTTTTCGGGATTTACTTAGATTCTCCATTTGCGGAACCAGTCGCCGAAGCGGTCGGCGGCGCTTTGGACACGAATAGTGAGTCGATTAAGATTTTTATCTGTGTAAAAGGAGGGAGAGAGAGGCCGTGTCATCCGCGAAAAGCGCGATATTGACGTGGGGGTCTTTTGGCATATCACTCGTGTGGAGCGTAAAAAGTAAGGGTGAGAGGTAAGAGCCTCGTGGAACGCCAGCCGTGAGGCAGCGACTTGTGGAGAGGGCAGTCTCAACTCGAAATCGAAGGAGCGGTTCGACAGGAAGGCCCGAATGGTGTGTACGATCCTGTCTGGCATTTTGAACAGCTTGTAAATCAAGGCGTTGAGCCAGTCTTTGTCGAATGCTTTTGCGACATCGAAGAAAAGAGCTGCCGTGCTAATGCGTTTCGGGTGATTTAGGCCTTTCAGGATATGTTCCGTCAGGCGGTAAAATTGATCGGGACAGGAATGTCTAGTTCGAAAGCCGAATTGTTCCGCCGGCAGAAGGCCGTTGGAAAACACGTGCTCTTTGAGCCTGTTTAATAGAAGCTGAGAAGGCTGATGGGACGATAACTTGAGTGCTTGTTAGCGGGTTTATCGGCTTGCGAATGCCGATAACCTTGTGGATTCTTTCCAGTCGTCCGGAAAGGAGCAACAGGATAGAAGTGTATTGCAAATGGCCGCCAGTGAACAGATAAGCGGCCCAGGGAGAGCTTTAAGGATTATTACTAATATTGTCTGAGCCCGGGGCGGATTTAGCTTTTAAATTTTTGATAATATCTTCGACCTCTTCGAGGGTCACTGAGTTAAATGGATCGCCTTCCGTTGGAGCGCAGCCCTAGTTTCGATTACGCGATCCACCTCCTTTAGGTGGGCTGTATCGATGCGTTCACGCGATGGCGTACATTGCTGCTCAAGGTTGTCCGCAAGGCATTCGGCTTTTTCAGAGACATTTCACGTAAGCTTGAAAGGTCAAATTTTTATTATTCCAGATTTGATAATTGCTCCAAGCATTAACCTATATACACACTCCAAGCACAACAAATTAGTGAATGTGAAGAAGAGATCAAACGGATATCCGTTTTGTCTGATACTGGTTTTCGGATATTCGGTCAACATTGTAGCCGCACAGCCGTATACTCGGCAACTATTTAAGTATTACTACTCGGAAACCGTTTAAGTAAGCAAGGTTTATCATAATTAATTAATTGTTCTCGGAAAACTATTTCGTAAATAGTTTTCGTAAAGATATATTGTTGAGTGTTATATCTTGCGGTTAAATAGGAATTTCAATAGAATATTATCGATACTTTCTCCGAGTAGACTCTTATTCCATTTTATGTTGTCCTAGTGCATCAGCTTTATTTTATTTTATGTGAGAAACTGATGTTAAGTCATAACCACTGCATCTGCAACACCCTAAAAGGTTAAAGATGCGTTGCCACCTTTTAATCAAGTGGGCTTTGTTCACTCCAGTCTTCTCGTTACCAAGTTCATTGGCGTTAGTGCGGAAAGTTTGTTATTATTTTTATTAAAAGTAAAAACTTCTCTAACAATTTTATTGCTACTCTTGTATTATTATTAATTTAAGGGATTAGATATCGTTTATTTTAAATGTATTGATTTTGTGTTAATTGCATATTATAGATATTGTTATTTGTTTATACTAGTTTTCAGATTTTTAATAATATTTTTAAGTTTTTTGAAGTTCTCAAAAGATTCTGTATATTAGATCAATATTTCTCTACTCTGTTGAAATTGTTACTTTTACATACTTATTAACAAATAAAATAATATTTATATAACTGAAAAATATTCTTTAATTTGCACATTGGGTAAAAAGACCTGGTACCTAAACCCCAAGTTCTAGTTTGTATATTTTTAATCAGTCTAACATTTATTGTGATTAGGGATGGGCAAGTAAAAACAAATATCGATCTTTATCGTATCGACATTTTTAAAAACTATCGATATCTATCGAGAGAAAAATATCGATAGTTCGATATATTTATTTAAGATTTTAATTATTTTTTTATTTCCAAACCATTCAGAATTCGCGAAAAAGAGAAGACATGCAGAAAAAAAGTAATATTTATTAGTAATCGACTCAAAAAAGTAAAAGTAAAGTAACAGCCTATACATGTCCCACTGCTGGGCAAAGGCCTCCTCTATACAGAGGGTATCAGGGCATAGTCCACCAAGCGGCCCCACTGCGGATTGGCGGACTTTACATATCTTCTTCACGATGTTTTCCTTCACCCCGGAGCACGTGATGAGTCAGCACTTAAAGTTAAAAACTTCATTGGTGCTGGCACCGGGAATCGAACTCAGGTTGCTCGAGTATATTGAATTAAAGGCGAGCGCCCGGACACTGAGCTATCACGGTTCAATCACATACAATTTATTCGAACCAATAATCATCTGATATGGGCATTAGGAGCACCTATGTTTCAAATTTCGACATTTGCAATTATTTTTTTTACTTTTTTGATTTGTTCAAAAAAAAAGATCTGAAAATTATTAATTGTTTGTTATCATCAGGGTCTTACTACCAGGCCATATAATCTTTATTAAAAAAAGTATGATCGTGCACGCATCTAATAATACTTAACTACTACATGAAATCAGAGTTGCATTAAAATATATCGAAATTGATACAAATTCGATAGTCGACAATAAATACTAAATATCGATGTATCGGGAATAAAAATATCGACGATATATATATATCTATATATATTTGGAAAAATATCGATATTTTTATATACCGATGTTTTTTGCCCATGCCTAGTCGTGATTCGTGACGTGATCTTCAGCCTGAATAGAATTAGAATAGATTTTTTGTGGTCACCAATAGATGTCGGATTGATTACTCCGTTTGTGTTGAAAACTTTGATAATTCTAAAGTAAGTGTAAAATATATATTTGAAATAAATCTAAGATTAAGTTTGAATAGATTTTACACTCTATATATTCAATAGCAACCTCTCAAATGTAACAAAGTCTTTTGTGTCCTTTCGTTTAAACTTATTTAAAAATATAAATATTATATGTGCAGAATTGTGGGTGTGTTTCTAAGGAGTATTCTAATCTGTGTAAGGTTATATTTCTCTTGTAATAAGCAAAAAATCTGCTCGTTATGATGTAAAATGATAATTAGTTGACAGTTTTGTCATTTTATTCTAGTGATATACCAGCAAGCAAAATAATATTCCAGTGTTACATCTTTTATTTGATATTAAATATTTTCATAACATATTCTGTTTTCTAGATTTGTTGAAAGTTTAATTGTAAAAGTTCTTTATACATAGTACTTTAATTATCTATCTATAATTGTGCTACTCCTAAACCTTAAGTTAATGAAATATTAAGGTAACAATCTTACAATGTGAAGTTTTTAGTTTTAAAATTTTCAATGAGATGTCTTGCCTCTGTACAGCTATATGGTCCTCATGTTTTCAATACAATTTATTTATTTATTTTTATTTATTTATTATTAAATAAAATAAAATAAATCAAAAAATAAATAAATGAAATCAGATAAACATCAAACTTCAGTCTGATTTTCGTTTTATCAATATTCAACTGTAAACATTTATTTTTACTTTCAATATATGTTTTCAGAAAATTGATGTTTTCTTGATTATCCTATAGTGTTACCGTATAATTTGTTTTTATCGTACTGTATCAAATGTAATTCATTGCACTGTTTGATACTTTTGAATAGATTTTTAATGCAGTTTTTGATTATAACTTAAAAAATTGTGTAGCACACATTTTGTTATTAATTTAGATGTCAGGCGGTCACAAACATCGTTACAAGAATGTAGGATTGAGTGCTGATGAATTGCGCCGTCGCCGTGAAGAAGAAGGTGTGCAATTACGTAAGCAAAAAAGGGAGCAACAGCTTTTCAAACGTAGAAATGTTAATCTGCCATCACCAAATGCGCCAGATGTTGCTATACAGGTATAGTGAGTTGGGATTTTATTTAAATTATAAAGACTTGTTTATGACTGTGATAAGATCTGGTTCCCAAATTTTGAATATAGGAATTTTTATTTACACGGGGTGATACTTTTATAATAAAAAGACCTTGGTGTAAGCTCTAATAGCATGAAATTGTGATCTTGGGGATTTGATTCTGAGCGACAAGCGCCTTGAAACTCTGTCCTATTTTTTCTGATTTTTATTAAAACTTTGTGGGACATAAGTTAGCATTACAAAAAACATAATGAGGCTTTGCTATTGATACATTTTTTATGCTAGAATGTTGTAAAAAAATTTACACTTTAAAACTTATGACATTTATTTTATTATATGAATTATTCAAAGTATTTTGTGTTTTAGGCAGATTATTGTATTTTTATGATACTTTGTTTCAGGATGACATTAACATATCTGCAACTGATGATATTACACCACAAATGGTAGTTGCATTATATAGTGACAATCCACAGGACCAAATTATAGCAACTCAAAAATTTCGTAAGCTTTTAAGTCGTGAACCAAATCCACTTATAGATGAAGTGATAAGGACTGGAATAGTTCCTAAATTTGTTGAATTCTTAACAAACAACTCTAATCCAACATTACAGGTAATATTGAAACAATTTGCATCTGAATATTCCCTGCACATTTTTAAAAACAGCTTGTAGTCATATAGAAGCAAGAGTAGGTGAAACTCTAACAACCTTTAGCAATGCTTTAGGCTGATATTAATTGTGTCCAATGCGAATTTGCTTTTAGTTCGAGGCGGCATGGGCGTTGACTAACATCGCCTCTGGGACATCAGAACAGACACGAGTAGTAGTGGAGAGTGGCGCGGTGGCGGCGCTAGTGGCGTTAGTGGGTGGCGGCGCTGGCGATGATGTGCGCGAGCAGGCCGTGTGGGCGCTGGGCAACGTCGCCGGCGACTCGCCGAGTTGCCGCGATGCCGTCCTCGCCGCTGGTGTACTGCCGCCCCTAATAGAGTGAGTGCATAACTTAAATAGCCGAGGTTTCCGTACTCTGTTCCATTAACAGGCACAATGATCTGAGCAATCACATATCGCGATAGTCGCGCATGTGAGTGTTTGTTCATCTGATGCTAGTTGAATATCCACCAGATGGTGGGCTTTTATTTTGGTATCAGAGGGTTCAGTTAATCTTCAAAAGATACCTCTTTGAAAAAAAGAAAACATTCTGTGGGATTCCTACCATCTAAAACTCTTTCGGTGGCCAAACAGGATCTTGTGTGGAGTCACGGTCATCTCTCGACCACACTGACAGATCATGACACATAGGGTACTGACAGATTTTAGGCCGAGGAACTTCAACTGGATGTCACAACAACCTGAATTAATTGATGGATCTCAAAAGCTAGTAAGCATCATTGAGTAGCACAACAAAATAAACTCCATACCTGCCCTGGATTGTCCAATCAAACGTAAAAGATATTTTATAAATAACATTATGGTGAGTGAAGCACTATACACCTGAAAGCGTAGCGTAACAGCCCTCTGCTATATTTTAAAATGTTCCTTCCCAGGAACTTTAAGCAAACACATTATCCAATAGGGGAAAGTAAAGTGACCATACCACACTCACAACTTTGGTTTGATTTGGACCACAATATAATCAGGTTGGCAAGGGTTAAAATTATTATCAATTCTCTATATCTAAAATATTCAAAATATTAATGGAAAGGATGACAAATGAGTATGAAATGAGAGATGTGATCAATAATGGCACATATTTATGGTTTGCAGAATCTTAAACAAATATACAAGGTTATCCATGACAAGGAATGCAGTTTGGACTCTATCAAACTTGTGTAGGGGTAAAAACCCTCCGACAAATTTTGAAGCAGTAGCACCAGGTATTTTATTTATATATTGTCTTTGAATAATTTAAAAGAGTGAAATGGTGATCTAACTAGAATAAAAAAGATAAGAGCTTATATTGAAATTGTGCTATACAACAACTATATTGTGTAATAAATGATCTTAAAACTTACAGGTATACCTGTACTAGCGAGGCTTCTCCACCATACTGACGCAGATGTCTTGACCGATGCTTGCTGGGCTCTTTCATATTTATGTGACGGACCAAATGAGAAGATTCAAGCTGTGATTGATGCAGGCATTTGTAGAAGACTTGTGGAATTACTTATGTAAGTATTTTTATGTCTAATTTGATTCCAATATGACATCTTGATTGATTCTCATATGATTAGTTTTTAACATAGCCCATTTTTTATATATGTTTAGAAAATAACCAAACGCTTATATATAGATAATAAGATATTAATTTCAACTACTAATTTTATCCATTTTTTTGTAAATTTAATATCTTGCTCAATATGTGAAATATTAATTAATTATCACTATGTTACAGGCACAACAAATCCACAGTAGTTTCAGCAGCATTAAGGGCCGTAGGTAACATAGTTACTGGCAATGATGCTCAGACACAGGCTATTCTGAACTGCAATCCACTACCTAGTCTACATATGCTGCTTCGCTCCAGCACTGAGGCTTTGAAGAAGGAGACTTGTTGGACATTGTCCAATATTACTGCAGGGAATGCTGTACAAATACAAGTAAGTTGAGATAGTATTGTAAAGTATTAATCATACAGGTCTGACGCTGGCAAATTGTTCTAGTTCTATATACTGTATTGCATTACAAATAAAGATTTTATTGGATGATGATGTAGGATGGTTAAATAATAATGACCTACTTTGCGAATTTAAGTAATTATTATACAATTATGTTATGCAATGGCAATCGCCTTTTGTTAAGGGTAGACCAAAACAGATTGGAGAGAGATTATTCATAGAATTCAACAATTGAAACATATTTGCACTGATTGTTTACTTTGTTGTGTATAGGCGGTTATAGATGCTAATATATTCCCGACGTTAATTGAAATATTAAGGCAAGCTGAATTCAAAACAAGGAAAGAGGCTGCATGGGCAATCACTAATGCATCCAGTGGAGGTTCTCATGAACAAATTAGGTAAGCTTATTTCATAAAGGACTTGGAAATATCTTTTAATATTTTTGCTATAATGCATGTTAATTTCTTATTAATTAGTATAATATTTTTGTTCAATGTACTAAAATAAGTAAAATTAATTGATATCTTTGTTTTTTGAAGGTAAAGCATATTTTAAAAGGTGTTGCCTAATGAAATTACTTAAAAATTTTGCAAATATTTTATTAAACAGTTTTGAAAACTTAAATACAAATATTGGTTTATTTTAATTATATATATTATAGCTTTATATAAAACAGAGGTTTTAAGACTCATCTGTTGCCTATATGCTTATCATGTTATGGGTGAATTTATCAGATTGTTTATTACAGGTACCTAGTTGAACAAGGTTGTATACCACCCCTGTGTGATTTACTGACATTGACTGATGCTAAAACTGTACAAGTGGCACTTAATGGACTTGATAATATATTAAAAGCAGGACAGCAATCGGACCAACTTAATCCATATGCGGCTCTCATAGAAGAATGCTTTGGTTAGTCAATGTCTTATAAGTGTATTTCTTTATTAAAATAACATCTTTACTAAATCACCAGCTCATAATTTAGATTGATGTGTAAAAAACATTTCATGGCAAAAATGTGTCAGGCTAACATTATATAATGAAAAAAATATACTTCTTAATTAGATCGATAAGAAAAAATCTTTAAATATAAAAATTGAAGGCAATTGGTACAGAATTTTCGGAGATATGTGATTGGGAATACTCAAAATAATATTTTTAGTTATATAGATTCTGTTGTGAGAACTTATATGTATGTCTATACAGAACTTATATGTGTGCAGTTTTAATCAAGGGAAAATCACATTTGCAGGCCTGGACAAAATAGAATTCCTGCAGTCGCACGAGAACTTGGACATATACCAAAAGTCTTTTGAGATAATCGAAAACTACTTTGGATCGGAGAGCGAGGATGGCCGCCTCGCGCCAGAGGTGTCCTCCACCACCGGCCAGTACCAGTTCGGAGCAGACCAGTCTGTGCCAATGGGCGGCTTCCAGTTTTAACAATAGACTCCATCATCTATCCTTATTAGGAGCAGTAAGTAACCAATACTAGGTATTCTACGATAGATCTAGGTTGCAGTGGTCTTTGAAACTTACTACCCAACCCCTTCCACACAAATCAAGTAACCAGCACAGTAGTCATATTATGTACACCCCTTAAATTCAGATTCTTGATCAGATGGTTTGTCATGGAAAATTCCTTGTAGTGCTCAAAAGGGCTTTTTATTTACATAGGAATAAAATCTTAAATGTTGAATTATATTGACCTAGCTGTTAATGAGTTTTTAGTATACACCAGAATATCTCAGAGATGGCTGAATTTTTTCCTACTTAATTGACACTTATCATTTCCTATATTATGGACAATTCACACAATATCTTTATATATAGCCTATGTGTTATTCTGATCAGTGGCGGATTTGTAGTTTTGGCCGCCTTAGGCCCCAGCTCATGTAGTAAGTTCCAGCCACCCCGTTCTCAGCGCCCATCATATATCTTGTTATAAGTGAATTTTTTGTCACAATTGGCCACCCCTAATATGAGGCCGCCCTAGGCCCGGGCCTATTGAGCCTTCGGGCAAATCAGCCACTGATTCTGATGTTTAATGATAAAAATAACGATGTTTAAGCTAATAAATAAAAATTATATAATATTATTTCGAATTTCTCATTTTTGCGCAGATGCCTGTAACTGGGAAGTGATAAATCGCTCCAGCGAAGTAATCTACACAGGAGAGTGTCTGTGTTATGCACTGCAATAATTGACAGCGGGACTCATGGGGATTATAATGAAAATAGAAACTCAGACTATCGGATAAGCAAGGCTCATTCCGGACTCTTATGCTGTCGATTCTTATTATACAGTAGTGTAGATTGTATTATTTATATTAAAAATTAATAACCTCGCTTCATTTTTGTTTGCTTCTGTAGATAAAGGCGTATCTAGTTCATTTATTTTATTGTATAAAGTATATTTTGTTGGCCTTTATGCGAGCATCATCGTTACTAAATATTACATGTTTGTTATGTAATAAAAACATTTTTATTTGTTATGTATTACACATTCATACCAACATGTATGCCTTTTAATATTTAATTTTATTTTTTAGTTTTAAGTCATAAAAATAATTTGTACAAAATTATGTTTGTAATAGTAATATTTTTTTGAAGCAAGTTTAGATCACTAAAAATTGGTATTAATAAAGGTGAATAAGAAATTGCGTTACTTTTCTATCCGGGAAGGTGGCTACCGGACAGGCGATTCACCTAACGTTAAGTGATAACCTTCGCAAAAAGACATCGAAAGACTTGTAGTTGTGTTACAAAAAATATCCTAATCATTACATAGTCAGTTAGTCGTCAAGTAATTATCCAGCCCTACACCTTAAAATTCGAAAAAGAAACATTTCGAAACAAGATACTGCACGAAAAATTACAATTATTTAGAATTGATTTATAATTGGAATACAAAAAATACAAAAGTATTTATTTCTTTAACATATTTCTGTTACAGTTATAAATATTTGGAGCTACATTTTAAGCAAAAGTTTTACTTGTGTAAACCCCCTTTACATGACGCAAGTTTCTTGCCTGTTGTATACAATTAAATTGAAGAAATAAATGCCATGTATGAACTAAACAACGCATAACATTCTTGACTATTGAACAAGATTTGCTTCAAGTTTTGTTTCAAAACTTTTCTTGGTGTAAACAGCAAACACAATAATTTAAGCAATTTTTGTACATATTTAATTTCATTCTCTCTTCCTTTGCAAACACGAGTGCGATGAGTGAGGGTGTTTGATCGTGGCTGCTCTTCTGAGGCAATAAATATTGAGAAAAGGTCAAAAAAATTTTGCTAAATTTCAATGAAATGTATTAAATGGGTAGAATCTAACTTGAAAACTCATTATTGACTCATTTTTTTAATAAACTGCCCTTTTAAAAACGTTCAACACTTGAATGAAAACCTCGCCTAAGCAAATACGTTCAATATTTGGAGCAACCCGCCATAAATGTACACGCACATACAAGCCTATAATGAACTTAACTAAATACATAACAGACTTTTAAATCTAATTAAAATAAACAATGTGCGTGTGTGTGTGTGTGTGTGTGTGAAGTACGCCCGCGTGCGTAGTTGTGTGTTTGTTTTAACTTAGCATCAACTCAATTTCAGCACAACTTTCAGTCTTTAGGCTTTCTATAAGTGCTATTTTGCACTTTGCGTATGTTATTTCGTAAATATTAAGTTATTAATTAGTAATTTTATTGTAGATGACAATAGCTCTTGTGACATATTGCCTCTTAGCAAAAACTGATTTTACTCGTGTATGTTCTTCTAGAATGATTACGGTATGTTGGTAAGGAAGCGATTTGTGTTTACTCAGCAGAGAGTTCAAGATATATTATTTTCTAACAGTTAATAAATCAGAAGAAGAATTGAGTAAGTCTGTTGACAATGCTCTTTGCTTAAAATAGATAACTTTCAGTTATGATCGCTGAGCTCTCTCCAAGTCTAGATTTGATTGCCCCACTCTACACAGTTATGCAATAAGTCAAAACAGATTGCCCTAGAGATATACAGCGTGTCGTTACCATCGCGAAAATAAATAAAAACACGTCTAAGCTACTTGCCCATAATCATAAAAAAAATTAACGTTAAAAAATCCATAATTAAAAAAAAATATTTTTCAAACAAACTAATTAAGTAAAAAAGAAACAAAATTTGTGACACCTATACAACTACAACTGACTGATTCATACATTGAGAGACTTTTTCATTCGTTATCATCGCGTCGCAATACAAGCCTCTCCTTCTAACAGTATGTTTTGTCTCTTTTAAATTTATTCAACCCATTCATATGCTTTGGGATCTCTACAAATGAACTTTACGTTACAGTTTTATACGTAGGGGTGCCCTAAAATTCTTTGTTTTGGAAAATTTAATAACTCTGTAAATATTGATGTTTAAAGAATGTAAATGTTTAATACAATTTTAAAAAGTTATCCTCTATATGTGTGTTCATTTATTGTAAAGACACTGTATATGTTAGGCGTGATATGTATTCAGAATCCACATTACGTCGTTTCAAAGTCAAAGTAAAGTTAATTTTGTAAAAAATAAGTTTTCTTATTCTAATCAAAAGTTCAATGTGACCATGCCATGACAGTCCCTGATCAATTAGGTAGGTATTCTGTAGGTATTTTGTACTAGTAACTCTTTTAAGTTCAGCACAAGAGTAAGAGAAAGCAGAGGTTTTATCACATTGGTGGAACATTATTCGTAAATGTAGGTTGGCCGGTTTTTGTTCTTGGTGAAACAAATATAGTTACGTTTTTGAACATTAAGCGACAAAAGATTTGTATTCAGCCAAGTAGCAATATCAGCCAATCCTGTTTCAGTCCGTGATTTTAACGTCCTTAGCTGCAAAAACAATAGCTGTGTCATCCGCATACGAAAAAATATGACCTCCATAAATTTCTATATTATACAGCTTATTTATATAAACAAGAAAAAAGTAAGTAGGGCACATTGCCTTGAGGCCCTCCATAATTAACAGTTCACTCAAAACTCAACCTTAACCCTTTTTTGTTTTTTGTCGTGGGGAAATCCTGCATAGGATACCTGTCTACCAGGAGAGGGTAGACAGGTTATGTCGGATTCCTACCGACTAAAACCCCACGTTACTCGTCTTTAGTCCTGATGAGAGGGCACGGGATCTCCTAAAGGAACACAACCGCGGCCCTCTGACTTAATCTTAACCCTTTTTTTTTTTTTTTTTTTTAACGATGGGAAATGCATCATGCATACTCTCCTTAGGGGAAGCAAGGAGAGTTATGTTGTACTCCCGCTCTGAGAAGGGCAGACCTACCAACTAAAACCCATCGGGTGTCCTCCTCTGCCGTCAAATGCTGGATTGCAGGGCCCGCTTAAGCGATTCTGCTGCAACCCAGCCACGGCTACCCCGACCCTGCACAGGGCTGGGGCACACCACGAAGGGACTTTTGTCCCCGTCCTCCGCATGAGTGCCCATGACACCAGTGGGCACTTAGCCTTCGCGGGGCCTCATACCGTTAGGTGACAGACGTCCCCACGTCTGTCACCCGGAGGCCCATTAGGGCGGGAGACGGCGCTCGTGTGCCGCCCGCCTTCTCCCCATGTGACGTCGCCGGATCGGGTCGGAAGAAGCATTCTCCTCCCTCTCCCTTTCGGCGGCCTCCTTCTGTAAGACGACTTTCTCGCAGAAGGAGGCCATCGCCCTCCACGCCGCCCTGCTGTCGACCATTGCTCTAAAGATGGCCGGCAGCGAGAGATCCGACCCGACGACGTCACGGAGCCGCCCTCGCGGCTCCTCCCACGCCGGGCATTCCGTCATCGTGTGCTGCGCCGTATCGTCGGCGCAGGCACAATGGTGGCACCTTTGGCTAGGTTCCCTCCCGATAGCGTGCAGGTAATTACCGAAGCATCCATGCCCAGTCACCACCTGTACCATCCGGAATGACAAACTGCCATTTCGGGAACCGATCCACTTCTCCAGGACAGGCCTAATGGCCTGTGCCACTCTATGTCCGGCAGTGGGAGCCACCAAACGTTCCTGCCAGGTGCGCATCAAAATGACGCGCGCCTGGCGTCGCCACCTTGCGATTCGTTCGGTGGAAAGTTATCGCCGCACCCCTTCGCCTCAGCGACTCGGCGATATACCTCCGCGAGGACTTTAGCCTCTAAGTCCCATGGTGGGGATCCCGCCAAAGCACACGCCGCCTCGCCGGCCACTGTGCGGTAGCCGCGTATAGCCCTGAGTGCCATGGCACGCTGCGGTCGTCGCAGCAACGCTCTATTCGGGGCACTCAAGGCATCCACCCACACAGGAGCTCCTTAGAGGGCCATCGATCTGATGACCCCCATGTACAGGCGGCGGCAGACCGACCCTGGTCCCCCCACATTAGGCAAGAGGCGTCCAAGAGCAGCGGATGCCTTTAACAGATTCGGTGTCAGCCGGCGAAAGTGAGCGGCGAACGTCCACCGACGGACGTAGACGGACGTCTAGGACGAGTCCGAGATACTTCATCTCGGACTCGACCCGGACCTCCACTTCTCCGATCCGGAGTGGTGTGCCTGCAGCCAGCCTCCTTCTAGGTCCATGAAAAAATAGGGCCTTGGTTTTCTCTAGGGCCACCCGTAGGCCTTGAGCTCTGATGCGGGACACCACTAGTCCCACACCGACCACCGCCAGCTGGGTCGCCTCCTGATGCGTCGCGCCGCGGGCAAGAACGAGTGTGTCGTCAGCATAGCAGACAACACGAAGCCCGCGCAGCAGGGCACCACGGAGTACCCTGTCGTAGCCGATGTTCCACAGGAGTGGGCCATGGACCGATCCCTGTGGAACACCGCACCACGTTTCCCTCTGTACGAAGACGCCATCGCGCCCTACAACGCTACACACAACGCTCCTTCCCCGTAGGTACGCCACAATAAATGCACGCAGGTACCGGGGGAGTCGGTGGTATCGGAGGCCCTCCTCGATGGTAGCGAACGGCAGGGTATTGAATGCGTTTGCGATGTCAAGAGACACCGCCAACACCACGTTGCCGTTTGCTCCTCCGCATACCCCTTGACACACAATATGGCGTCTATTGTGGAGCGCGATGGTCGGAACCCGTACTGGGCGTCGGACAGGTCAGGACCCTCGCGCATCATATGACGTATGATGCGCGAGGCGACCACCCTCTCCAACAGCTTACCGGCCTCGTCCAACAGGATGATTGGCCGGTAAGCCGAGGGCGATTCTTCAGGGCGTCCCTCCTTACGAAGGAGAACAACCCTGCCCGCCTTCCAACACTGCGGGAACTCTCCACGCCGAAGACAAGCGGTGAAAAGCTCCCTCAAGCGTTCCTCTAGGTGCCCCAAGGCCAAGATCAGAGCCCTGCCGGGCACACCATCGGGGCCAGGGGCCGTTTTGCGCCCACGAAGCTGCAGAAGTGCGGCTCCCATCTCACCCTCGGATACCAGAGGCACCTCCTCGGTGGTTTCCGGCTCAGGCACCGGTGGGATAACGCCTGTTGGGGCCGGGAACAACGCCTCCAGTCGCCGAAGATGCGCAATGTCAGGTGACCACCAGTACACCTGCCTCTTTTGAGGTCTTTGCCGCACGCGGACCATGCAGGCATCGCAGACCCTGGTGATCGCGCTGCGGAAACACATCGCCTCCTCGTCCGTCGTCCCCGGAGGCGAGGAGCTCCAGGACTCGACGATGGCGGCCTCCTTCAGCAGGTCAACATCCAACCCCGCGAGGGCCCATCGCGGAAACGTTGAGGCCATCGCAGGGAAGGCGGGGACCAACTGCATCCCTCTGGAGGAGGAGACGCTGAAGCGGATATATAAGTGATCCGACAGCGTCTCCACCTCCCCCATAACTCGCCAATCTCGTACTGCCTGAGCAACCACCGGGCTCGCAAAGGAAATGTCTACAATGGACCCCCCTTGGACCCGAACACAGGTTTGTGCTGTGCCGCAGTTGAGAAGTGCCAACCCAGATTCCGTGGCCCAGTCTTCAACCACAATCCCCCGCACGTCTGTAGCAGGCGATCCCCAAGCCGTATTCTTGGCATTAAAATCGCCCGCCACAATTACCGGTCGAGGTGCAACTCGCCTAATGGCCGCCTGCATATCACCGAGGAGCGTCTCGAGCTCAGCGAGGGTTTTGTTTGGGGAAAAATACACCGAGAATATTGTGTATTTCCCCCAGTCGGCCGCCACAAAACCATTTCCCCTCTCTTTGACGGAAAGGGGCGTGGTACCATCTGGAACATAGATGGCCGCCGTGCCCGTAGCATCCCCTATCCAGTTGGCGGGTATGCAATAAGGCTCCGCTACCACCGCCAGTCCAATTTGCCATTGCGCCAGTGCCTGGAATAATAGATCCTGGGCACCGGCGCAATGGTTTAGGTTTATCTGGAGGAAATGTCTATCCCTATCCATTATTAGAGTCGACACACATTTCCTCTTGTCGGGAAGAATCCCGATCCATCTGCTGGGAGACCGGGGTCCTGCCGGCTTTTTTCCCTTCTTTCGGTGGGGAGCAACCCTTAGCCCCCACCGAGTGCTCAGCTGGCCTACCTGCAACTGCGCATACTGCGCAGTGGGGTTTGGCTAAGCATGCCGCTGCTTTGTGTCCAGGAGCACTGCAGCGATAACAAATATCGCTGCGGTCCACCTCCGAAGTGCACTGGAGTCGCGTGTGCCGGATTTCTAGGCATCGGAAGCACTTCATAGGGCGCGGCTCCAGGGACTCGACGTGCACATAGCTCCAGCCAATCCTCATACTCCGAGCTGACACCAGGACCTTAGCAGCTGCCACTGGACATTGCACCCAGATGCAGCCAGTGCCCCGGCGGCCCTCCCGAATTTCGCCCGCTTTGACGTGGTCAAGGGGACAGGCGGCTGCAGCGACAATCGCAGCGAGCACCTCATCCCTGGTGACGGAATCATCCAGGCCAGTAAGACGCAAATCCGCGCACTTCACCGGCCTGGCGATCCGTGCCTCTCCGGCGAGGACCTCACGGAGCTTCGCGGCGAAACTGTCCGCTGCTTCGCTCGTGACCCCTGCTGGAAGCTCGAGAACTCGAGCTCCCGTGGCCGCCTGCCTTATTTTCAGGCCTGCCGGGATGTTCAAGGCCGTCAGATCTACCTCTGACGGGCTTTGGTGAGAACATCACTATACGTAACCCCCTTTTCGACGGCATCGTGCTGTAGTGTGATTACTACAGCTGCCGTCGTAGGGGCACGTAGTTTGCGGCATCTACGCCTCCGCTTCTTTTTATTAGCGGCGGCTGGCGTCGCAGTGGCCACAGCGGGTCTTGATGCCGTACCGGACTTGGGCACCGCAGCGGATCCCGTTGCGACCAATGGGGGCCTCGGCACCGTAATAGATTTCACGGCGGCCGCAGGTGGCTTAGGCGTCGCGACGGGCTTAGCCACTTTCTTTGGCTTGGCGGAGATGGAAGCCGACATCTGCACGTCAAGCGCGGGCGCTGTCTTCTTTCCCTTCCCCTTTCCCTTCCGTACCACTGCACTCCACGTCTCTCCCAGAGAGGTAGGAGTGGGATCTGGGGCCGATGAAGGCCCAGGTTCGGCGCTACGCCTATCCGCAGCCAAAGGCGGCCTCAGGCGCTTCTCCGGGAGCAAGCGCTCCTCGAGAGCCTCGAATCGCGCGCTGATCATCGTCCCTACTTGGGATAGTACATCACGCGCGATATGCTCAGCCTGCAGTGTCGGTGCCGGCGTCCGTTTCTGGGCTGAGCGAGCCGCCTTCTCTATACTGAGACGCATGCTAGCAACCTCCTTTTGGAGCGTCGCCACCTCGTCCCGCAACCGTTTGTTGTCGGCCTAGAGGCGGCGGGTTTCATCAGTCGATGATATGCTCTGTAGAGCGTTCACCGCCTCCCGGATCATCTCAGCCGCTTCCTTAAGGGCTTTTACAAAAGTGCCCTTCAGGTTCTTTGATTTTGTAGCGACTTTGGTGATGACTTTAATGCCATCATCGACCCTCTCAAGCAGGGTCGAAGAAAGGCGAGAGTCGACTACGTCGTCAAAGCCAGCGGGGCGCAATGCTCTATCGAGCCGGCGCCTTTGGATCAGCTCTGGAACCTGCTTCTCCGCCTGGAGCTCCATCTCTGCCCTCCTGGCTTCCATGAGCTCCCGCTTCCCTTTCGCCAGCCCCAAATACTGCCCACTATTGGGCGGGCGGCCTCTACCCCTTTTAGGCACAGGGGTGCCTCTCCTTTTGAACGCCGAAGATTCCGGATGATCATCTGCTTCGGCGTCTGCATCCGAGGCGCGAGTGCGCTTCTTGCGCACTTTCTGGGCCTCTCCGCTACCCATACTGGCGAAGCTAGCGTTGCTAGCTACGCTTTTTTTCCAATTCCAGGCTCATTTCAGAGCCAGAATCTGACGCGGATATACCGCCTACCTCCTCTAAACTCCCTACTGTGGTTGATGTCAAAGGGCCATCCTCCTTTCTTTGGGTATCACAGTGTTCGAGCTGTACGCCTAACTCCTTAAGAAAGTCATTTCCTTTTAGATTTTTCTTTTCCATTTTTATTCCCACGAGTTGGGACGATATAGATGCACTCCCCGGGTTACGCCCATTCCGGTCGACTAAAAAGTGGAGTGGGGTACATACTGTGGAGGTCCCCAGGTATCCACAGGTTTTAACGAGGGTTCTCTCGGGCTTTATAGGGTTTTCCTTCCCGCGGGCCGGCCAATTAAGGCAAGCCCTCCGACCAGCGATACAGAAGCACTCACACATATACACACCCAAACACATACACATACACACACACAAATACCCACACAACATCTCCAACTGGAGCCACCAGAAGGGTCGTTGAAGTGAGTCGCTGGTTGCGGAACGAGGAGTTGGCGAAATCTCCTCCGACGGTGGCGTCAGACGCACTGAGATTAGTCAGCGCGCCGACCCGTCCTCCTAGGCCCTATCCGATGTGCTCTCTGCTGATGAGAGAATCACACGGAGAGCCCCTCCTTGTGCTGCTCTTCGTCTGGTCCCTCGCTCCGAGCCTGTCCGGTATGGGAGACCCTATCCGGCATAGCCTTGGAGGTCATTAGGACACGCAAGCCCCTCCACCACAACAAGGTCGCAGCACAACGGGGGGACTTAATCTTAACCCTACCCTAACCCCTTTACGATTAGTTAGGTTATTTTCTAGTAGTTTAAGCAGATTTCTTCTAATATCTGCCTCGTGAAGATTACGCAGAAGAATTGGTACGGACATCGTGTCAAAGGCTTTTTTTAAGTCAAGAAAGACCGCCAAGCACTTGTTGCAAGGTTCAACATTTTCAACAATAGCGGAGATCAGAGCTAAGACAGCGTCTTCAGTAGATAGGTTTTTCCGAAATCCGTATTGATACTAAGAACATAAATTATACTTAGGGAAAAATTTACCAACCTCATATTTATATGTGATATATATATATATATGATAGATATCGGCCTAAAGTTAGATGGATCTGTTTTTTGTCCACTTTTATGCACAGGTGTTTCTGAATCACTGTTTGTTTCAGTGCAACTGGAAAAACTCCACACTCAAAACATTGATCAGTGAGATGGAACTGGAATGGGTCTTATGTCATTAGAAGCTAACTTTAAAAAGCGAGTCAGTATGTTATCCCACGCAGTAGCAATATCAGACTTCATAGACAAGAACGGAGTAAACCTCTTCGGGACCTGTATTTATGAGAGCAAATGACGTCTCCAAAGGCATGGTTCAGACAGATCGGCGCTAAATTTCGTCCTGGGACGGGGAACACTTTCGGCCACTTGTCCGGCAATAGTAACAAAATACGTGTTGACTTTATCTAGAGACTCTTGTGGAGTTAATGTTATATTGAGAAGTTCTAGGCCTTGTGATTTAGGTGGATTACGTTGAGTTATGTTGTTAACAGTGTTCTATAGCTTTTTTGGATTTTTTTTTGAATTGCATCCACGTTTTAATCCAAAACACGTCTTAATTTTTTTTATAATTTTAGTACAAATGCCGATATCTTTTATATGTTACTTTGTCTGATTTTCTGGATCTAATCTTAATTTGATCTGCATATCGTTTCTGTTCTTAGGAATAGTAATTTATATAACAATACCATAATTCAACGTAGCTTACCCGCGGTCATACGAGGATTAATAAACTGCTTTCTTCCAAGAGCTCTATATGTAAGGGTATTTAAAGTAAGGCATTGTTGTAGAGTTGTTATCAAGCCTTGGGTTATAAGATTAGGATCAGCTAAGCTAAGCCAAGCGGGCAAGCAACTTACAATTTGTGACTTTGTTAATCTCTATTTAAATTTAATTGAATATTATTAACAGTACATATATTTAGAACAATCATACAGTGATCAGTTATCGTCGTGTCTAGAACAGCAATGTACTTTTATTACGACTATCTAACTTAATAGTAAAATGATCAAGGCAATTAGGACCTCTTGTAGGTAGAAGATGGCCTGGAAGCATGCTACGCGTTCCAAGCATATTCAAATAGTTTAATCTATTAGACACTAACATAGATCTAAAAACGGATAATCCTGTAAAGCATAAATATAATAACATGTTATATAATATGGGCCTTGTATGCGGGATCACAGAACACACCAGAATTGAATTGGCTAACGGAAAAATAAGTAAATCTTGTATTGATCACATCTATGCCCGATCCCGCTTCACAAGACCTATTTACGGCGGCACTCGGTACTACACTGGCTGACCATCGCGCTGTAATACTCGCTTGTAATGGCGCGCGAATACAGGTTGCTCCTAAATATAAGACATGTATAAATAATCAACTACTTACTAAGTTACTTAATAACATCCGCTGGGAAGAATCGTATGATATCAAATGCCCTCTAAAGCTTTATAATTATTTGTATACCAAATTTAAAGAATGTTATAAGAACTCTGAATATAAAAGTAAAATGAAAGGTAGCACATTACGAAGTAATAACGAGTGGATTAATAAAAAAATTATACGAGGTTGTGAATATAGAGATAAATTATTTAACCAATGGATAAAAGATTCGAATAACCTAATCTTAAAACAAAATTACAATAAAGCAAGAAACTACGCAAATATTTAATTCATAAAACTAAAAATAAATATATTAAGTCTGAAATTCTATCAAATAAGAGCAATATGAGACAACTTTGGCAGATTCTAAACCGAATAACCGGAAGACTCAAACAATCCATTGACGATATTATTCAGAACTCATTTAAAAATACGAATACATCTTGTAAAGATATAGCTAATAAATTCGCACAAACGTTCGACAACAGTATAAACCAAATTGTCCCTAAATGCTCGAGACCATTGCTAAACACCTCAGAATATAAATATTCCGCGAATGTTACCATGCGACTAAAGCCCGCAAATTCTTGCTCAGTTAAAAAAATCATCATGTCTTTGAACAATAATAAAGCCCCCGGAATAGATAACATTAGAGCCATTGATATAAAAATGCTCTGTACAAAAATCAAAATGGTAATTGCCAATTTAATTAACCTATGTGTACAAAATAGTAAGCACCCATCTAAACTAAAAATAGGACTTGTAAGGCTTATTCATAAAAAAGGTAGTAAGCTGGATTATAACAATTATAGACCAATTACTATTTTGCCTACCATAGATAAAATCATTGAAAAATACATATGTAACGAAATATATACATTCTATGAAAAAAATAAAATACTGACAAACAATATGGTTTTCAACCAAAAAAGAACACCACCCAACTATTGTCAGCATTCACAGACAGTATTCATAACCATCTAAATGAAAAAAGACATGTGTTAGTAGTGTTTATAGACTATAGTAAGGCTTTTGATGTTCTGAGACATGACAGGCTATTAGAATGTCTTCATGACAGCGGGATTAGAGGTAAATTACTGAACTGGTGTGAAGACTACCTTAACGATAGAAAGTTCATTGTCAAAATCAGCGATGATATCAGCGATACAGTGAGGGTAAAGAAAGGCACGGCTCAAGGTTCGGTCCTTGGGCCGCTACATTACCTCACTTATGTAAATAGTCTGGCTAACCTAATAAAGAAGTGTGAGATCTACCAATTCGCTGATGACACCTGCCTCGTGGCTGCGGGACAAAGTGTCACCGAGGCACAAAAAATATTGCAACAGGACTTTGACTTACTGATCAAATGGTCGCACGATGCTGGCTTAATCTTAAATTTTAGTAAGACAAAACTCATGTATATCAGCTCTAGTCAAAATAGAAGCTCTTTTATACCAAAAGTAATAGCTCACTCTCATGAATGTATGCATGACAACTGCGCAACTAAGAACATGTCTTGTAAATGTGATTCGATAGATCTTGTTGATAGACAAACATACTTAGGACTTATCATAGATAGTTGACTCAATTGGAAAGCACATATTACTGCAGTAAGTGACAAACTAAGATGTATTCTGGCCAAATTTTCTATAATAAAATATATAATTCCAAATCAAACGCTATTACTACTTTATAAGTCACTGGCCGAATCGGTAATATCATATGGACTGTCGAGTTACGGCAGGACATATAAAACTCACCTTGATGAAATATATTTTCTCCAATTACGTATATTAAAAACAATAGTACCAATTAACATAAAGAAGAAATTTACAAATGATTACCATAAACTATTTGAATTTTGTAAAGTTATAGATACCTATTCATGAAAAGATTAAACTAACATTGTTAACTGAAGAATTTTTCAATAAAAATTTAAAGAAAACGAAAACATCACATAGTAACGAAATTAAGACTCGTAGTGTCACGAACGCAAAGTTTGTTGCTTCCAAAATATAGAAATTTACACGGTAAAAGAACATTAAAGTATATTATACCATACCTTATTAACCAACTGCCTACATCCTTAAGAGAAAAAATAACTCACAAAAACATAAAATTCAAACTAAAACAACATTTTATGCAAAATAACTATAGTACTAATACTAATATAATAGTTAAAAATAGAAAAAAAAAAACAAATTAAATTAAAACGTTAATAAGTACATCCTGTATAAGCACAAACGTTTTACCTTACCTTGTTTTTTTTTTTTTCGTACTAACAAAAGCGGCCAGAGCGGTCACCGATGTTCGTCCACTTATATTAGTAACTACCCACTGTATTAATTTTTTACTATTTTTCAAATTATCTTCGTCTTAATATTAGTCTTGTTAAATGGTGATTTGTGCTTTATGGTAGTAACTATGTATCGTGTATACATTGATGATACTGTTACACGGTAAAACTCTTATGAGTTTATGTTTGTATCAGTTTATTAAGTTTGTAATTTTCTTTTTTTTTATACAAATAAATTAAAAAAAAATTAAATTATTGGAGCGACATTGCGATGATTCATCAGGATAGTATATTAACTTTACTCTACTTAAACGTGTTTTTTTTTTAAATAACCTGAGGCAAAACCCGAAATAGATTATTTTACTTTCGACATTTGACTGAAATTTAGGTACTTTTAGGTTTGACTAAAAATACTTCAGGCAAAAGCCGAAATTGAAATTTATTTTAGGGTTTGCCCGAAGGCTTTGATCAAACCTAGGATATACATAACAGTCATTCCGGGAAGAGACTGCATATCGACTTTTAACCATAATATATGCACAATTATTAATTTCGTGTAATCGTATTTCTTGTTTCCGTTATTTAATTAATCTTGCTTTGAGTATAACATAGTTAAAATAAATAATTTTACTGTGGACCACGCATCAGCTGTTGCATGAATGAGCAGGTCCATCCGGGGAAGTACCACTTCTGCGTTTCGTTTGGTGAATGAGGTATCTGGAGTCCTCTTTATTGAAATGTTCTTGTATTCTTGTATTAACTGATGTTTGTGCTTTCAGTCCCGAGACTATTAAAGCTTCATCTGGCGCAGAACCGGTGGGCTAGCCAGAACCCACGGGTTTGGGCCCTCCGCTGTGGGTAGGGCCACGCATGTGCTCATGCGTGCGTTTAAGTGTGGTGTGTCATCTAAGGGCAATCGAGGTCGCGGTTCGGACCCCGATGGCCGTCGACTGTGCAAGTAGTTAGGCCGTCAACTGGGCTGGGAGCGGTGAGAACCGCCCCGGAACGCGGGTGTACCTTGTGTACGCGTTGTGTTGGTCTCGCCGTGCTCGAACTAGTGTGTTTGTTGTTGCACTAACCGTGGTTGTAGTGATATCCGGCGGTGGGTCCGTCGTATCTAAGTCCCCTTCCTCGACCGGGTCGATGAGGACGTTTCGCGGGCGACGCTTGTTGACGTTCGCGTTTGTGTCGGGTTGATAATTTGCTGCGCTTACCATTAGCAAAGCAAAGGGTTGGGGTGATGTTCGGCTCTGTCGAAGAACCGTTTGGTCAGGTCTTTAAAATATTCGCGTATCTTCGGGAGTCTGCAATCGCTGTGCAGGTCGACGTTGCGTTGATACCACTGCGCACCGGTTGCGCGGCGGATGAACTTATTTTGTACTATTTGCAACTTGTACAAGCGAGTAGGGTGCGTGTGGGCGAAGGTCATGCATGCGTAGGACATAATAAGTCGTACGCAGGTCTTATATAATAATAATTTGTTTCTTAAGGGCATTTTACTTTTAGCGTTAGTTAAATTGTGTAGCCGGCCGGAGACGAACGCGGCTCTATTGCGAACGTTATTAATGTGCGTTGTAAATGGCATACGCGAGTCGAAAGTGACTCCTAAGTATTTGACCTTTTTTTCCCAGGGGAACGGTTGGCCATAAAGGGATATTTGCCCCAAATTTCTGCATAGATATTGAAGCGTTGCAACGCATCAGCATCACGGGTGTGCGCAAATTTTCATTAGCGGCGGTTATCACTTAGCATCAGGTGAAGTGCCAGTTCGCTTAGCACCTTCTCACATAAATAAATCATCATCATCATATCAACCGTAGGACGTCCACTGCTGAACATAGGCCTCCCCCATTGACTTCCACTTCGACCGGTCGTTAGCGGCCTGCATCCAACGCGTCCCTGCGATCTTGGCTAGGTCGTCCGTCCTTGGACCTTGTGGGAGGCCTTCCTACGCTGCGTTTGCCGTCACGTGGTCTCCACTGGAGAACCTTTTTGCCCCAACGGCTATCGGTTCTTCGAACTATGTGCCCTGCCCACTGCCACTTCAGCCTGCTGACTCGCTCTGCTATGTCGGTAACTCTAGTTCTTCTACGGATCTCCTCATTTCTGATTCGATCTCGTAGAGAAACCCAAGCATTATCCTTTCCGTAGCGCGTTGTGCGACCGCGAGCTTCCTCATGAGGCCCATAGTGAGAGACCACGGCTCGGCACCGTAGGTCATCGCTGGTAGCACGCACTGGTTAAAGACTTTCGTCTTTAAGGACTGTGGTATTTTGGACGTAAAGACGCTGCACAATTTCCCGAACGCAGCCTAGCCGAGCTGGATTCGTCGATTGACCTCATTCTCGAAGTTGGATTTGCCTTGTTGGACCATTTGTCCCAGATAGACATAACTATCAACAGCTTCGATTGGCGAGCCTCCCATTAATACGGGGGTGGGCGTCACATGGACATTTGACATGAATCAATATAGTTATTAAAGACCTTTACCTACGTCTCAATATCATTTGTTGGCTAGTCTCAACTTACAAATGTTTAAAGGGTTTTCCTTCCTTTCTTACTTAATATTTGAAGAAATCTAAGTACACCCCGTGCTGTAGTAGTAATGGTACGTTCTTTAAAAAATAAAACCATAAAGTAACAAATAATAAAATTTTATATTTCTCGTCACAAGACACATTGACAGTTATTAAACCATATGTATTTTTGTATGAAGTTGAGATAAATTGGTTAATTAGTGTTTATTTATTTGCTATGGCTCCCCTAATTATTACAACTTGTGACGCCCTTCGTTATTATAACCTCCGAACGAAATTCTTAAGTTAAAACTAATTTCAAATTTTTATTTCTAGCTTTTATTTTACATTATTTTATGATTTTTTTTTCATTATATGGTAGGTGTCTTATTATGATATATGTGAAAACAAAAAATTTAATGATATACTAAAAAACCATGCATCGCGCAATAATCAAATGCGCCTGAATGAATTTGGCTTTCGGGAGCATTAACATGCAATAGTCCAGTGCAAAAATGGTCGAGTTAAAGTACCTAATAAAATAATGTATACAAAACCGAATAACGACGTCATTCAAAACATTATGCTGATGATATTAAATTCATGTAGTGGGAGCAAGGCCGAAATTTATGTTCATGGCATTAACTCTTGCCCCGCAACCTAAGTATGGACGAAATTTCGAAAAACATTTACGCTTTGCGCGCATATACGTCATACATATAGGTAAATATTGAGGCTTATTTACAATTTTTTGGTAATATTTTTATTTCATAAATATTTAAAAATATTACATGGCGAATTCTGAACCATCTAAGTTTTGTGCTATTACATACATCAAACATCGTAACGTGGAATGTTTCAGTCTTATCGTTTATTGATTAATATATTTAAATGTTTGCAAAAAATCGACATATAAATCTCTTTGTAAGGCGGTATTTACAGATATTCTAGAATATAGGACCATCACTAAGCCTTATTGGTAACGAAATTAAAGGCACAAATGCATTGATATCATAAAATTATGTAACTTTGATAATGGTTAACTTTGACATGATATAGTATGGTAGCTATAAAGTCAAGACAAGACATCAGTTACCCCAAAGTATGATTGTTAATTAAATATTTATCACTGACAATCTGACCTGGCAAACGTTGTTTTGCCATATAATTGATTTCTAGGGAATTTGTGAATCTGAACACATAGAAAAAGAATTCGGAACGCACGCATAAAATATTTGACAGTAGGGACAGTGTGTATGGGAAAATAAAATTGTTGGTATTTTGGTTTTCCATAATTTCTCATCGTTTAAACCTTCCCTGGACTGCCACAAATATTTCAAAACCTAAATGAGCCACATCGGTCCAGCCGTTCTCGACTTTTAGCGAGACTAACGAACAGTAATTCATTTTTATATAGAAGATATCTGTAGTTGTTAGTGGAGAGCAATATGATATATAATACTTAATAAATGCTTATTGCTCTTACTAATAATACATATTATGTAATATTCTTTGATGTTTTTGCTTTAGACTTTAAAGTATTTGTTAACATTGTACAAATACAAAGTAGAAGGTATTAGTGAGTAAAATATATCTAATACAATAGTCTATCTATAAATCTTCTTGATGTTAAAACTTTATCGAAAGATATTATATCAGCTAATTACTATGCAAGTATCATGTGTTATAATAGACGTTAACCAATATTAATAAAAGTTTAAAATTTTTGCTTATTTGATCTCGATATTTAATAACGCTTATTTAAAAAAAATAGATATTGCCTAAATCACATGATTACTTTTATTGACTGTATTCAAAACAAGATTACAGAGTCAATTTTTTACATAATTAGATTTGCTGATTACAATATCTACATTAATCCTTACAGCTTAGCGAGTTATTTGTAAACACATCCGCACATTAGACTACAACTTGTTAACATGTAGCATGTCGAATAAAGGCTTTTTTGCTTACTAGTATCAAAACGACAATAGAATTTATAAAAGTCGCGTAATATAAAGAGTACAGTTATAAAAGATAGTTTTAACGATGTGCTATTTTAAAATATCACAAAAAATAAAATTTCACAAAACTGAGCCCTGTTAAAAAAGAACTCCTATATCATTGAAGTGGGTTATTGTTCGCAGAAACTTATGTTCCCTGTGTAATTGTTCCCAGAATAGCATTCTGTCTTCGAACGGATTTACGCCCTTCGTCAGATCTTGACCTATGCACAGATAATCAAGCTCGTCCTTGCTAGTGACGGGATCCCAGGTTATTTTCAGTAGCGAATCGTTTTCATCCGGTGTAGGGTTGCTAAAATATAATGGAACTTAAATTTATCTAAACATAAAATTGTTGAAAAAAGAAAGTGGCAAGGGAGCTGGCGGTTCACCTGATGTTCAGTGATAAATACCGCCCATAGACATTTGCAATACCATAGGGTTGAAGATGCGTTGTCACCTTTTAATAAAGTGGGCTCCATCCACTTCGCGTCGGTCATCTGCGAGCTCGTGGTACTTCCCCAGACGGACTTGCCCATTTGTGCCACAGTGAAAACTGTTTTGTGGATCTGTTTAGGAATATTTTTTTTTGTGTTTATGAATTTTTAAATTGAACACAAAACGGACAAAGTCTTTGCGTGTTTCATCCATAGTATAGAATATTGTGGTGAGTGGAGTGTGAGGTACGAAGGTAGACATATGACATAAACGCATTTTAATGTCTGGACTCTACCAATAAAATCGTATATACTGGCAATTTGACTTCAGTTCTAGTACCAATAATATCTTTACAATTTTAGTACTGATTTATAACGTATTCGGCGACGACCGAGAGCGTTACTAATGCGGTTCTCAGCGTTTCTAATAAAAAAAAAAAAAAAAAACAACAATTTAACAAAAATAAAAAAAAACGCACGGAAAGTAGTGACTTTTGCCCAATAGTAGGATGACAGATGAGTACAGGATGCACCTATATTCGCTTTAATAATTGACTGAATTTCTCACCTATATTTAGCGAAGTTAGTCCACATTTTTATGATTCGACGCCTCGTCGTTATGGAGTCGCGGCTGCCTTTGCATATACTTCCGTCTGGTAAAGTGACTTGAAAGAGAAAGGGTATCTCGGCGGCATGTCCTGATTTGTTGAAGAAATCCAAATACTTGGGGACAATCCATTCCCCGGCGCAGTTGATAATGTAGAAAAAAATTGGACATTCGGGCGCGATCTCTTTGTGTATTCTAATTGTCTTATTGACGTTGTACAGGAAGTAATAATCGCTCATCAATTGGACGTACTGTTGTTTTTTGTCCTCTCGCAACGTGTCAGCGCCGTCCAAATAGAAGTTTAAAATCTTTCGGTCGATGTTTTTTGCGAATGTTTGCGCCGCCAACGGAGTCGGCACGATTCGATAAGGGTCCATATTCGTTTTAAAGATATCGTTGAAGTTATCCTCTAAATATTCCAGCACCATTGCCTCGGTGTTGTTAGCACCGATCATTATTGGCACTTTATTGACTATACCGGATTTCAATATTATAGAGGGACTCTTTGACAGAAACACCGGCACCCCTTCGAATTCTCTCTCAATGCATGGTTTGAAGACAGAATCGAACGCTTTACCTGCGCTTAGGTTCTGTAATTTTTCAATTAACTTCAGAGAAGCTCTCATAATGTCCATGTATGGAACGCTTTTAAGTTCCTTAACGATCTCTACTATATCCGTTTTTCTTATTCCCAATTCGGTAGCCAGCTTCATAACAGGTTGTATTGGATTTTTTTCTAGAGACCAGTTGTTAATAGCACTGGCACTTTGAATAATCCCTTTATGGAAAAGGCCAGTTGCCATGGGAGAAAGCATCATGTAGTGAACTATAGAGCCACCGCTGCTGATACCGAAGAGCGTCACATTGTTTGGATCTCCACCAAACGCCTTAATATTCCTTTGAACCCATTGTAATGCCATAACGATGTCTTTAAGCCCATTGTTGCCCGGTGCTAGGAATTCGTTAATAGAAAGGAACCCGAAAGGGCCCACCCGGAAACCACATCTCACGAAGACGACACCACGATCGACAATTAATTTTGGATCCAAAATTGTGTCCATGTTAATTATGAATCCAATATTTCCTATCCAGAACATAACTGGTAAAAGTTCTTCAGGTGAAATCTTTGGAGTACATACTTCTATATACAGACAATCTTCTGAGCCCATTATTTTATTTTGAAAGAAAAAAGATGCGGGCGGTGGCGCATCTTCGGTACAATCCAATTCATTATTCCATGGCTTAACAGGAACTGGAGGCTTTAAAAGATATTGTATACAATTTTGTTATTTGCTTGTTAACATTACTCGCTTTTAATGTGAGAATGTGGCAAGTGAGCAGGCGTTTCACCTCATGTTAAGTGATGACCACCACCCATGCACATTTGCAACAGCCGTAAGGTGGTGTATGCGTTACCACCTTTTGATAAAGTGGGCTCTGACTACCTCATTTACCAGATGAAACTCAGAAGTACAACACTTCTACTTCACGTCGGTCTTATAGGTGCGTGGTACTTACCTGGTCAGACCTACACCCATTCATGCATCAGCGAAGTCTGTTGCGTGGCCCTACCACATTTAATTTACCTAAAATTTGTTTTGCATCAAACCATTGAGACAAATTTTAAGTAAGCGAACAAATTATTAAGTATTCGAAGGGTTATTTTTCCTTTAGAAGGAAATGTTAAGTTAAAGTAAAAATATATTCAGACGTGTCGAACACTACACTAGTCATGACCACGTGACATCTTTCCCGTAGTTCACGTGAAATTTATGTTTGTAAAACGTCCTTACAACAAAGGATAAAGTTAGCCCAAAAGTAAGGGCAATGTTTATAAAAAAAAACAAAAAAAAAAAAAAAAACAACATAAAAACAATGATATCCGTAAATTTTTTTTTAAAATATGTTTAGCATCCGCGCAAATATACGACATATCTGGAATGTTATTGATTGAAACAGCTTCAAAAAATGTTTGTGGTAAATATTATATTTATTTACACATTAGTACGATACGGACGTTTAAAATAAACATCCGTATGTCGTAGACTCCATAACATCTCAATTTATTCACTAGGCATTGCAATGTAAGTGTCCATTTTTTGTTATCATCAAAGAATGAGTTATCTGACCATTTTAAAAGGTTATCGTTTTAATGTAGAAACATTTCGTAGTATTAACTAGGCTTGATCTTTTGCTATTTTTTTCATATTCGTATTTTATTTTATATCATAGATATTTATTTTATTTCAATATTTTCTTATTGTTACATCCTTTAAACGTTATACAGGATTCAATACGATTTCAGCATTCAGTGTTTAAAATAAAACCGACACGACTTAATAATATATGAAGAATTTCAAAGTTTTTTTTTTATAGTGCCAATCTCTGCACTTAAGATTGAACATTAAAATATGTAGAAAAAGTACGAAAAGATTGTCGCCGCTGTGGGAATCGAACCCACGTCTTCGGCAATCGCGGCCCGACTCTCTAGCTAAACGGCTGATAGCCACAGCGACGAAAATCTTAACGTCTTTTATCTATATACCTTATATACAGAAATTCCCACGCCCATAAACCAGGTGTGTAAGTAATGATTACAGATATATTTCTTTCTTCATTTGCCTCTTTTACATCAATATGTATTTTTACGGCACTTTTTTTTAGTATGGCGCCACGTAGAGTGGGAGGAAAGAAAAGTAAATGTTCCACTAAGTTCCACACATTAGATGATGACTGCAGATGTGTTGGGGAGTATTACGATGGGATTAAACTGGTTCCCTTATTACTCAGCCCATTAGGAAGCAGGCAGAGCTATATGGTGATTTTACTTGAGATAAACTGAATGTTAAATTTCTTAGCCGGTTATAGGGTACTCAATAGCTGTTTAATCAAATATAATTGACAGTATTTTCAATGGACTTTAAAAAGGAGGAGGTTCTCAATTCGCTTGAATGTTATTACCTCAGAACTCCGTCATTAATGAATGGATTTTAAAAATTCTATTTGGAAGTGTAGCTCCCATGTGATCTTGTATTAAGATTGGTATTGGAGCTTGAACTCCAGTGATACATCAGGGAACTCCTCAAAATCAAATAGAAATTGTATGGTGAGACATTTGAATTCAGTTTTGTTTTTGTTACTGAAAATTTATTTCTTTTATACATACTGCTTGTCAAGATATCAAATGTTTAAAGTGATCAAGGATGGATCAAGATTACAGTATTCCCATACACCAGTTTGTATATGAGAATGCTGATATTGTAATTAAAAATAGTTTATTTTTGTTAATTATTATTTCACTGAAAGCTAGATTAGGCTTTAAGATTTCTAATACATTTACTTTTTTTTTAACTTATTAGTATTGTTGAAAATTGGACTGCATTGAAAATTCTGATAAGATGATTTTTTTTAACTTACAATAAACCTTAAAGATCCAAGTGGTGGTTTAGCATAAGGTATTTTCTTGAATCTATAATAAGCCTTATTATCTATCTGTTCAATAAATCCACATATGGGACCATCATTGCTGCATAGTCTATACTTTAAATGTTCTTCTTGTTTGGACATTACTGCATATATCTGTAAAAAAAGAGGTTAAATATTTTCATGCCGATAGCATAAAAATACTCTTGACAAAGAATAAGCAATCACTGTTTACAAGAAGTAAGCACATTAGTTATGTAGTATGTAATTTGTTTCTTAATCAATAAAAATTTATACTCATGTCAAGTACTCGGGTTGCACTAATAATTAAAATACAATTAATTTGATCTACTAAAGTTCACAGGATAACCTATTAGTCTAATGTGAATATTACGTAAAATATTTAATAAAAATTGATCCAGTAGTTTTGTAAAAAGTGAAAACGTAAATTTTTAACTTAAAATAATAGTCTATAATGAATAATGGACGCACAGTAATGACGGATTTCAGTTGTACGAAATTTAAAACTTTAATTTTTTCCTCATAATCTAGTGGTTTTCATTGATTATAACGTATATAATATTTAGTTATTAACATTTCTCTATAGATTAAAATTTTTTTCTAGCTTGAATAACGAGACGTACTATTCGGAATATTAGCCGTATTTTTTAAATAAAATGCTTTTAATGAAAAGATATTGTTGGTGTATTTCTTTTAATTGTCTTAACGTTAAATGATTAAGTCAAACATATATTTATAGTAAAATAATAAGACATGTACTTACTTTTATTAATTAATGTCTTTTTTCGCACTTAAAATCTATTATTTTGAAGAAAATAATTTGATGGTAGAATTTTATCCCCTAATATAGTAAATGTGCAGTCAAATAGTATTTATAATTCCAATAAATAGCAACAAAGTAATTTAAATAAAACAACAGAAAATTGGATAACATTCATTTCATTACTGTATGAAACGAAATGTCAAAGTCAAATTAGTGATGCTAAAATTATGTTCATATATCGATATTACATATCGATATTTACTAGTGAAAAAGTACTAACATTTTTTTAATCAATGCATCGGAATATACCGTCTCGATAAATTGATTGATTGATACATTGATTGAACATTCTATAATGCACACGCCATTGGTAAAAAAATATATATTGAAAATAACAATTACGTAAATATTTTTACAATGGGCGGCCTTATTACTTAAAGCTATTTCTTTCAGGAGACCTTTGAATGAACATAACATGTAAAGACGTGTGTGGATAAAGTTTTACTAAATTAATACGTTATCGAATAAAATAAATAAGTATATAAATCCCTCCAGAGCTGAAGCATTCCATAGTTGTTCACCTTGAACTATAAAATAGTATTGTATCAAAAAAACATTAATGTATTTTCTAATTGGAAACCCCAACTTCTGATTGACTTGAGAGTTGGGACTACTGAAGAGGTCGTCCTATCAAATTTTGTTTGAAAACCTTTTCTACTCGTCATTGATTATCTGTGAGTGTAGGTACTTTCAGCCCGGCGCAAGCGGCATTGACTTTTAATATCTTCGACGGTAGAGGTTCCCAGACAGACGAACTGCATTCTGGTGATCAATATATTTGGTTAGGTTAGGGTATAATTATTATACTTAAAAAACTTATAGGTAGTTATTATACTTAAATTTTAAGGAGCTATCTTTACATTCCTAATTTAAATTAAAAAGTTACTTTTTATCAAAATGAAAATCTGGGAAAACACATAGTATCACACACACTGATCCCACAAAGATTCTAGGTGTAAAATATATATCAAATTGACAAATTATCATATAAGAAAAAAAAAGTGATAAAATTTTCTTCAGGGCACTCTCCCTGTCTCGGCAATCGAGGTGCAGTCGTGGAGGGAATGGAGTGCTGGTATTGCGTTTGACCATTTCCCCATCTTCCGCGACCCACCGGGGCTGCACTGCTGATACCGCGGTAATGGGGCCTCGGGAGAGAGGATTTTCTTCTCGGTGGCCGGGACGTAGTGAACCGTGGAGCCACAGACAATAATTCTGCAATGTCCCCATATACTCATAGCTGGGGCCATTGGCGTATCTAGGGCTATTTTACAGGGTGGGCCGGGCCCTAACTACAAAAAAAAATCGTACAAAAATCGAATCTACTTGTATTAAAATAATAACAGTTCTTACTTTTACTTATCATCGCATAGCATAAAATAAAATCGTTTGAGATGTTTGAACGCTTAGAACTGTTAAACTACGCAACGGATTTTTATGCGATTTTCAGCAATAGATAGTATTCAAGTGGAATGTTTTCATGTAGTATATATGTATATTATAGTAGAGAAAATTCGAGAAATTCAATATCTACATGCACCCGAGGGTGCGAAGTCGGGGTGGTCACTAGTTTCCTATATGAAGAAAAGAACTTCTCTTCTCCCATGGTAGATCTCAACTAAATGTAACTCTCCATATTGCTGAAAAGCTCCGCTCGCATCCGGCTGAACTGACTGGTATCACAATTGCAGCTTGAATTAATTGAAAAAGATTTGGGGATTTAATCTTGTTCAGCGTGTTCCTTAAGAACGTCAAATTTAATGTTATTTTCGTTTATTACGTTTTTTATAATGAAGCATTCTCCTTCTAGAAGGGTGCTATCAATTCAAAGAATGTCTTCGTAATTATCGATAAAAGCCTTCCCATTTTCGAATATTTAATTACGCATCGATCGATTGGGCCAGAAGTGCACTTTCGAATCTGCATTTCACGGTAATTATACATAAAAGTTTCCGGGACTGGCCACTTACATAAACAATATTTAAAAAGTAATTACATCATTTGAAAATGGAACTCTTTGGCTGTAGAATGCAGTTTGTTTCATCTGACTGTCAATTGTTTTTACATTGTGGCGCCATTTTAAAAATTGTGTGTCTACATTAACATGGATTTAACTCGGGAAATTCAATCTGCTTTTAGCGATGAAGGATAGGTGTCCAGCCTAGAATTTCGAATCGGTAACCTGAAATCCTGGGATCCTAGACGATACTGGGGTGGGGCCGGCCCACCCGGCCCCCAAGCTATATACGCCTATGGCTGGGGCACGATACACGCAACCTACCAAGACGACAATCCTTTTTTTTTTTTGTTGACGTGGGGGAAATGCCTACGCATACCCGCCCTCGCGGGGGCAAGAGCGGGTTATGTCGGACTCGCACCGACTAAAACCCTCACGATGTTACGCCTAGGCGCATATTGGCAGGGTCACGGGAACGCTTTCGCACACTTCCGCGACCCTGCCAGCGCTGGCCGCCTTAGCAGCCCCCTCACGGGGAGCAACTCCCCTCTCCTCCAGGTTTGGCGCGCTGGAACATTCAGCGCGCCTTCCTACTCGGCCCCATTTTCACGGTCAACGAACTCCCCCGAGTTCGCTTGACCAGGCCCATGGGAGCCAGGAGAGCCAGTGCTAATAAGCAGCAAGCCCCCCAGCCCCCAGCGGCGGACCTGGTCTGTGGCTCCGCCGCTCACCACGTTTCGGCCGCGGAGGATAGGGAGAACGGCGCACCGCAATACCGACACTCCTCTCCCCCCGCGGCCCACCACAGCTGCATCAGCGGTGCAGCCCCGCCGAGTCGCGGAGGATAGGGAGCACGGCCAACGCAATACCGACACTCCTCTTCCTCTGCGTCTCCTCCTAGCGCGGTAGCAGAAGACAGGGAGAGTAGCTCCACTTCTACCACCCTCGACCTGTCCCCTGCACCCTCCAGCACGCAACCAGAGTAGGCACATTGAGCCCACTCGGAGCGGCCCTCTCGGGCCGGCCTTACACCACAGGCCGGCCCAGTGTGGGTTCCTCTTAGCTTCGCCGTGGGGGACCAAGCCACGGCTACTAAGCCCCTCCGCCACGTCAAGGCGGGAACCCGGTCGGAGGGGAAGACGACAATCTGCATCACATATGAAATATATCAGCCCGACAGAGTAGATCGATCGGAGTCTAACAGTATAGTAAATGTAACAATGTGGTAAATCGCCAGCTGTTCAGTTCGAGTTCCTCTGTTCTATGCATATCTTGAAATTTTAGACCTTTCACCCGGGAGTCCAAAATAAAACGCTCTATAGTTCAAAAAGTATGGACTTTAGAAAAAAAAGGTTCAAATAAAAGAATAGATTGATCGATTAAAATGGATTGATACATTGCATTGATTAATGCATATTGCAATAATCAATGCAATATCAAAATAATATAAGAGTTGAGTATATTTATTTATTGAATTAATCAAATATGATTAGGACTGAGATAGAAAAACCTGTACATTGTTAGCGGTACGTTTTTCCTTCTTTGTATCTTATTCCTGTAGGTTCGCTTCTCACTAGATGATCCTAGAGCGGCGTCACCGAAGTTGTGCTTCAGGGGCTGGAGCTTTTTATTCAGTTCACTGTAGTAAGTTTCAGCTTTGATACGATCACCGCGTATCACCACGCACCACCTTGCAGGTGTCATCTGGCCGTATGCAGGAGTGTTATGGGGCGTGGTGCATCTAACTCAACGTTGGCTGATAAGGGGAACGGATCAACATACATCCCGTGGTGTGAGTTCTGCGTGATGATTTGCGAGCGAGTATTTGATTCGGATTCGAGAAGAGTAATGGTCTATCAACGTCCTATAGTTGAAGCGTGTTCAGGAAGTTTATTTCTACAGTGGATAATCTGTAATGGTTTGGAACAGCCAGGGGACTCAAAAGTTCTATAGTGCTCAATTACAGGAATTAAACCCGATTAAACTCTTGTGTCATACACTAGAGAGAAAGGTTTTGGAAGATCTGCACAGTGTATAGACCACCCAACTTGTTTGCCCACAAAAAATTGTTTTAATCCACTACAGGACACAGGTTGCCATCATGATCCATCGACTTTTAAACACATTTGCACGAGTCGTCACTTTATCTAGTGTCGGTTCGTAGGGATCCCTTGCGATGGTCAATATTTTTAATTTTTTTTGATTCATTGCTAATGTGCACTTAGTATCTTTCGATAGTGGTATAACCTTTAAGTAGAAGATTAGTCAAATTAAAAGAGAAAAACATCAAAGGAATTGTTTCCGATCAAGAAGATCTGGATTTTATATTTTAGTTTGGTCAATTTCATGATCATAAAAATCCCTTAATAACCTTTGATCCATTGTTGCTTCGTCGCAGTACTTAAGTTTTTTATAAAAGTCCAAGCGCATTTTGTTTATGTCTTTCGCCAGAATTTCTTTGAAAGCTGGTGTGTTCATTAGATTGGCAAAGAATTTTCGATTACTTGTGTACTTGGGGCTGATGCCAACAGTTGTTTTCATAGGGTAATTAACAAAACCATGTAAGTCATCCGTCAGAAATCTGTGTGAATGCAAAAAATCTTTTAATAAATGAGATATAATAATTTTTATTGTTATCGCTTATAAACAAACCTCCAAATAAAAACATAATATTAAAGTGAATTCTAAATAAGGAATGTTCAAACGGTACTTTTTGGGAGGTGTTTCGAATTAATTCTTATCATTAATGTACTTGTAACAAATCTGGAATATATGTCGTTCGAGTCCAACGTCAACTTGAGAAAATATGTATTGTATTATTTATTTACGAGTTTATCATTAATTAATGGATCTGTCTAGGAACTAATTGACAGTGGTGTTAATTTCATATTGGACTGGAAGTACACGTGACTTCCAAGACACGAATGCCCGAAAATACCTAATTGCAAGTGCAATCGAAATGTATAATATGCAATATGACGATAAATAATTGAAATGCGCCCTAATATCATTCTATTCAACAAAAGCTTCACATTGTGATATTGATACATGTTATATTCAAAGTAGAAAAAAAGTGATTAGGTAGACTATAAAATATAGGTGTTATAACTATATACTTACTGTTGATTTGACATAGGGGTTTCGAGACATAGGAGGAACATTTCCAGAAAACTATTTATAGCATTCTTGGCTATTTTTTTAGCTTCTACTACTCTGAAAATTATTAAAAATTATAAAATGCTGTTAACTATTTAAACGAAAATTTAAATTGATTATATCATAAACCTTTTGTCAAATGGTGTTATTAAAACTTCGGACATTAAATGTACAAATTGTAAAATTATAAAAAGAGAACATTTTAAACATCTACTAGACATACTAACAAATTGTAAAATAAAGCAGTGTTTATTATATCAAACGTTAGTATATAAAAATAAACTGCAAAATGGTTTACAGAAAACAATAAATTTAACTGTGCGTTACGTTGATACGTATAGTAATAAATGCAATGACAAGTTTTTCATTTTTGTACAGAACATATCCATGCATATACATAACTAAAATATAGAACCTCGTATAATAAACTCAGCCGTAAAAGTTCAGTGCTCGGACGCTCGCTTTTAATTAAGTATATTTGAGCAATCTGTGTTGAAATCCCGGTGCCGACACCATTGAAATTTTTAATTTTAAGTGCTGACTTACCACGTAGGTACTCAGCGCTGAAGGAAAATGTGAGGAAACTTGCATATTATCGAAATAGTGACAAAAATATTTGAAGATATGTGAAGTCTACCAATCCGCAGTGAGGTCGCTAGGTGTATAGCCCGATACTATTCTACTTTGCATATAATAAATTAAATATAATATTTAAAAAAAAAACTATCAAACGTATAATGGTAGTAGGACTCCTTATATCGAAAGGAGTGCATTGCAAAGAAGAATAGCTTGGACCGGAGAGCGAGAATGGACGAAGCGAGAGTAGGGAGGACACATGGTTAAAACACAGAATGTATGCAGAAAGTATTAGAAGACATGAGGATGGAATTATGGGCAGTGTGTTTACGCAAACTATGGCTAGAGACTTCTTAAGATATAAGAATAATATATACATTTACAACTCAAGATTCTTAATAGTATGGCAAGGTGCAATGGGACTGCCATTGCGGCCAGCATATTAAAGTAAAGTAATGTATCAGCCTATACAATTCCCACTGCTGGGTAATGGCCTCCTCTGTACAAAGGGTATCAGGGCATAGTCCTCCACGCGGCCCCACTGTGGATTGGCGGATCTTCACAAATCTTCGAAATATCTTATTTATTTATTATTATTTATAAAATATGCAGGTTTTCCTTCACCGCTGAGCAAGTGATAATTCAGCACTTGAAATTAACAATTTCATTGGTGCCGACACCGGGGATCAAACTCAGGTTGCTCGAGTCTATTGAATTAAAGGCGAGCCCCCGGACAATGAGCTATCACGGCTCGTATTAATATAAATATAATCAGGAGGAAAGAATAGATAATCCACTAATTACTTGAAATGAATGGAAGAGGTCACAGCTTACGATTAAGCGATTAATTGATGTAATTTCTTGTAACTTTTTTTCGACGTAAAGGTTGTTGTATCTTTTCAGTTGTACATTACAAGATTTCAATAAATAAGTTGATAAAATACAAGTATAAAAAAAAAACAGACTTCAATCAAAAAAATTAAAAACATTGTTAATACCTATAACATTTAATGATGGCCCTCGATTTCTCTGGGATGTCATCATCAGATCCGGGTTTCGTTATCATGGTACTACCCTTGGGATATCTCCTTGCCAACAAAAAAATAATCATCCAAATCGGTTCATAAACGACGAAGTTATCCACGAACACACATAAAAACAAAATATATATACGGTCGAATTGAGAAACCTCCTCCTTTTTTGAAGTCGGTTAAAAATAATAATTAATAACATCTTATTTATTAGATTTCATTACATCACGCATCGTACACATTTTGAAAACTTCAGAAGAACATTAATAATTTTGATTTTATTACTTGTCCATTGGCATATGTGTGTGTATATATGATTGTGTTTTGTACAAAATTTATTTTCTACTTTCATGAAGTTATAAAATGGCTTTTCTAAAAATGTTATTCGATTTATGATGTAGTTCTGGGCATGAATTGCATGAATTGTTCGATTCTATTTTGTACATTTTTGATCGATTCACATTTCACATTATAAACTTTAATTTTACGATCTTTTTTTAATAAATAGTTAAGTTAAAGGAAGTTTTTATGTAAAATCTGAATCGATTATAAATGTAGGTATATTTATGACAGTTGAGGGGCTTTAAAAATTTCGCGGTAAAGGTACGATTCGATAAAAATAGTGTGCAGCTCATTTGTTAACAAACATTCTGTGTTAAACTTCGGCATTGCACATACTAAACCGGTATCGCGTTTAGCCTCTGACTCCACCGCCAAGGTGTAACTTTTGTGCGTGCACATTTTTTTTATATGTAAGAAAGTGGCAAACGAGCTGAGGGTTCACCTAACGTTAAGTGATAACCGCCGCCCATGAACAGTTGCAACACCCGTAGCTTTGCAAATGCGTGGCCTACCTTTTAATAAAGTAGGCCCCGGCTACCTCACTCACCAGACGAAACGTAGAAGTGTTACACTTCTACCTCAGTATATATAACGTGCATGCTTCACGCGCACAGTGTAGCACGCTTGTGCACGAACATGTTCAATGAGCAGAGTTTCTACCTTCAGTTGATCCGGGCGGGCGGTAAGACGTAGTTGTTTGTGCTAATGTAGTCGGCGTAAAAAGAAATGAAGAAGGAAACCGTGATATTAATCCCTCTGACGAAGGAAACCGTGATTCCTTAAACTACAATGAAGTAACGTTTGAGTGGATTTAAAAGTTTCACTCGTATATCGTGGGAAGATTTTCAGTTTCTAGTCAATGCAGTTAGTTACTTATTGCTAAACAAGATTCCATAATTTTATCACAGAAGAGTAGCAGCGGTATTCAATTATCATGCCTGCTTGATAACTTTTCACCTAAATCATAAAAATAAAAGAACCGACTTCAAAAAAAGCTATTAGCACTAATAAGTTTATAAAGAATACTAAACGAGTTTATGAAAGTTATGTTATATAGGTTACATTTTCAAGATTTTATCATATTAGATTTAGTATTATTATGAACTTTTGCTACTATAGTTTTTTGAAGTCAGTTCTTTTTTATGTTTTTTTTATTACTTTTTATTCATTAAGAAATATGGGTATAATTGACAAAGACGCTGTTTGTATGAGAAAACGCCGTTTAACTGAAACCGGATCGGAAAAAGAAAAGGATTAAAGGCAAATAAGGAAGAATCTTTAAGCATATGAGAGGCCTGACCAACGCGAAAATAGATTGTTAAAAAAGATCCTATATATTACGTAGGTTAAATGACGAAAATGAAGAAAACTTCCAAAATCGTCATAGTTTAATTCGCACTCGTTTGGCTTTGCAAATGTCGAGGAATACTGTTGATAGATTTTTGCGTGTTTTGTTGTATAATCTTAAGTGCAGAGATAAGCACTTTAAAAAAAATTCTATCAGTGATTATTATAACACACCTTGGAAATAAATCGATCGTTCCAGGCTCTTTCTAGTGGAATTTAATATATTGAATATGGCTTTGTTACAAAAAAATGTCCCGTTGAGTTTCTTTCGCTGGTTCGTCTCAGGTTAGTGGCATTTTTCGGAACCGGTAGTAGTGTTTTTTTGATTATCAATAAGTAAGTGTAATGCTTCTATATTGAATATAGATATTGATCAAATTTGGTATTTATAGAGAAATTGACTCATAAAATAGTCCTAGATATACGGGACTGTTCCTGTCTCTTTCTAACCATTTCATTCCGCGAACTTTCGAAATATTTATATGCCTTTGGATTTTGTTTTCAAAATATGTGGGTGACTATTAAACTATTGTTCTTCTAATGAATATTTGGACTTTAAATCTGAATTTGAGGATTTTTAATATAGTCAAGTGTTAAGATCCCTATGCTTTTTTCTACCTAGGTTTCCACACTCATTTATTATGTTTAAGATAAATTTAAAGTGTTTTAAGTTGACGACCCGAATGGCGTAGTGGGTAGTGTACCTGCCTTCTGCGCCAGAGGGTGTGGTTTCGATCCCCACTGCTGGGAAAATATTGTGTGATGAGCATAGTGTTTTTCTAGTGTCTGGGTGTTTATATTTGTGTAATATGTATTTACTTACAAAAGAAAATTATGTTTAAGTATATCTATCACTTTTCTAGTACCCATAATACAAGCGTTGCTTAGTTTGGAACTAGAGAACGTTGGGTAAAAAATAAAAAATTTAAAAAGAAATTAAACTTTTTTAACAACCATGTATTTAGAATTCGAAACGAAAATTTAATTTTAGAATTTGCATTTAAAGTTTAAGTTAATTTTAAGGAATACGTTGAATTCTGAATAATGTAATTAAAGTTTCCTTACGTAATATTTGAACGCCCCTTTATTTCTTAGTATGTGAATTTCTTTTGAGTATATAAAAATGAGAACTTCTGAGACTTTCGCAATCATGGGAGAATGGATTTAAATATTGTCTAAGCAAATATTACATTCTGCGTGCTCGATTGGAGGGGAAACAGACATCGTCGTCATATAATGTAAGTGAAAACGGAGGGAGAAAGCCCGTTGAGGAAATTATTATTTTTCCTTTACCACCGGTGGTGGGAGAGGTTTGCATTTTGAAATGACATTTGAAATAAATTTCCGCCGTCTCTGCTGCTGCCGGGGCCATTCGATTGGAACATTGGCCCGATAATCATTAATTCCCTTAAACCGTATCCGCAACCCGCCTCCTTACATCACTATGGCGCTTGTATTTTCGTGCGTTCGGAACTTGTTTCCGATCGGGGGCTTCAATATTATTCGATTTTCCAATGTAGATGTCCTCTCATATAAGCGACGATAAGTTATTGTTTAGTACTATTTTTTACATTTTGTACATATTTTTTTTCAGAATTATTTACAGCCCAAGAAGTTATGTTATCGCTTCGTCAATGGCGAATACATCACTCACCTTCGGTTTGCCGATGACATCGTAGTCATGGCAAAGTCTTTGGAGGAGCTCAGCACAATGCTCGAAGACCTCAATAGAGTCTCCCAGCGGGTGGGCCTGAAAATGAATATGGAAAAGACCAAAGTCATGTCAAATGTCCATGTGACGCCCACCCCCGTATTGTTGGGAGGCTCACCACTCGAAGTTGTTGATAGCTATGTCTATCTGGGACAAA